GACATCAGCAAACCACTCACCCACACTACGCCATACACTCTGTCTGCTATCTGCCCGGTACAGTTCAAACCAGGATTAATCTGTGAAGAGCACACTTCTCCAGCGTGCCAGTGGCCATCGAAGGTGAGCATTTGTCGGTTACGACGCCGAACTGCAGTCAGGCCAAGACCCCGGTGAGGACGACGAGCATGCAGATGAGTTTCCCTGAGACGGTTTCTGACAGTTTTTGTAGAAATTCTTTGGTTGTGCCAACCCACAGTTTCATAAACTGTCTGTGTGGATGGTCTCAGATGATCCCACAGGTGAAGAAGCCGGATGTGGAGGTCCTGGGCTGGCGTGGTCACACGTGGTCTGCGGTTATGAGGCCGGTTGGACATACTGCCAAGTTCTCTAAAACGACATTGGTAGAGAAATTAACATTAAATTCTCTGCCAACAGCTCTGGTGGACATTCCTGCAGTCAGCATGCCAATTGCACACTCCCTCAAAACTTGACACATCTGTGGCATTGTGTTGTGTGACAAAACTGCACATTTTAGAGTGGCCTTTTATTTTCCCCAGCACAAGGTGTACCTATGTAATGATCATGCTGTTTAATCAGCTTCTTGATATGCCACACCTGTCAGGTGGATGGATTATCTTGACAAAGGAGAAATGCTCACTAACAGGGAAGTAAACAATTGTGCACAAAATGAGAGAAATAAACTTTTGTGCATATGGAAAATTTCTGGGATCTTTTATTTCAGCTCATGGGACCAACACTTTACATGTTGCGTTTATATTTTTGTTCAGTGTATTTCCTTTATTAGACAGAAAAACCTTTGAGGAACAGCCCTCAGAGCTCTAAAAGTTGCTAAGATGTTATATGCCAAATACAGTTCTATACATAAAAGTGCAATGTCACAATGGATAAGCAGTATCTTCATTATTTAAAGGTAGACTCAGCGAAATTACATTGCCACGAGCAGCACCGCAGATATTGAGATGAGCGAGATGCAAGACTTCGCTCTTACACAAGAATTTGCTCATTAATTAATTTGTCTCGGTTCCTACTGCACTTGCTCATATCATAGGATCTGAAATGAGAATGCAACAGTACAGAACATAGTTCAAAGTTCCTCTAAAACATTTTCAAAGGCACTTTCACATGTACATACTACAGATGTACATGGACACAAATAAAGACCAGTCAACAGGCAAGACACCACTGCTAACTGTGGATAATGGCATATAGAAAGACAGCACAGATTCAACAGGCTCATGTTCATTAGGACACTTTTGCAAAACGGAAAACAAAATGAGCGTTTCTTATTGGGGTAGTCCCTCCCTGTTTGTTCGTTTTCTTCCATTTGGTGTCTAATGAATACGACCCAAGTTTGGGTGGGACACCTGCAAATTCCGTGGCTCTGTTCATTGGACCTTTACATTTCTCCAACCGTTGTACTAAAAATCCCATTAAATTCTAACAAACAAAATCTTAATAAACATAAATTACAAAATTCAGAAAGGGTTAGTAATCCAGAATTCAAATCATATTCACTTTTAATATACATGAGATTGAGGCAACAGACAAAAATAAACCTGTTGCAGTTTGTATGCCAAGGAAAACATTGCTTATTGCAAACTTGAGACAATGCTTTTTGGAGTCCTTGTTCTTTAACCAGATGCAAGCTTCCCCACACATGCACCTTCAGTCTCTTTTCTTCAGCTACACAGCACCTTTAAAAGAGACCCATAGAGGGCACTGTCACAGAGGAACATACAGTTACAGTATGACGAGGCCATTTCCCTTGTGATGGATCGTTGTCACATGCACCCACCAGTGGAGGCTGCTGAGGGGAGGACGGCTCATAATAATGGCCGGAATGGAGTGAAGGGAATAGTATCAAACACATGATTTTCATGTGTTTGATACCATTCCATTCACTAGATTATACTCCATTCCAGGCATTATTATGAGCCGTCGTCCCCTCAGCAGCCTCCACTGACACCCACATCATGTGACATGATCTTCAGCGAACATGTGAGTATGCATTCCCCAGGACCACATGTGCTGCGTCTGCTACTCTATACAGCCGGGATCTGGCACACATCAATTATTCAAAAGGGAGTTTATAACGTAAAGACTAGTCAACAGGCAAATAGTGACCAAGTCCTGATGGAGAATCTAAACATCAGTCACATCTCCCCCACAGAGTAATGGACCAGCCCATCTCCCCTTCCACAACACAAGGATTAGCCTACATGGTCAGAAGGGGCTATGGGGATGGGATATAAAGCTCACACACACTAACATTGACAAGAAGCAGTATGAAGAACATTTGTATTTTACAGTAACAGTCAGTCCAGCATTCCGTTGTTGGGAGAATTTACTTTATGAGTCTAAAATAATGCTTGCATTGCACAAGGAGGGAGAGAGAGAAACAAACATCCATGCTCTAAAAGTATATGTCGTCTTTGGGCAGAGAAAGCCAGGCATTGTGTGTTGTTGTAAAACAAGCGCTGGTGTGTTTTCTATACCCTGTTTCATATGCAAACCATTCTCAACCCCTTGAATCTAAAGACAAAAAGCCAATGAAGGTTCGACACAGGTCTTCAAGAGTATATAAAAATGTTCACAGGATTTCCATAATGGGTAATATTTCACATAGTGGTTGTATCCTCTTGTCTCCTTCCAGACCTTGTTTAGAACTATGCTGCTGCGTTAAAATTAAAGCCATATGAAATCAACATGTAGGCAATCTTGTAACATCATTCTCAGAACTTTTGGGAGGTGCAGCCTAGTCCTTGACAGAAGTGTATCCAGTTCATTTGTACTCCTCTTCTGTTGCCAAGTGCACCAAATAAACAAAATAAACATCTCATCGTCTACTGTCCAATTATATCTACAGTATATACAGTTGCAGCAAAAATACATTGGCACCCTTGCACTTTCCGTAAATAATTCCCTATTTCTTCTCAAATAAGTTTAAATTGAAAAAAATAAACTGGTCTCCACACCTTGATATTGGATTTTTAACATTGCAGAACCAATTTTATATTTGTGAACTTTAGTTTACAATTTAATTGAGAAAATAAAGACAAATGGCATGGACAAAATGATTAGCAGCCCAGAGCTTGTACTTGGTTGCACAGCCTTTGGCTAAGATAACTGCAGACAAATGCTTCTTGTAGCCATCAGTGAGCTTGCTGTACCTTTCTACTGGCAATTTGGCCGACTTTTCTGCAGCAAACTGCTCTAATTCTTCAATGTTTGAGGGTGCCTTCCACCAATTGCTGTTTTCAGATTCCGCCATAGGTTATGGATGTGATTCAGATCTGGATTCTTCGCTGGCCACTCCAGAACAGTCCAGCGTTTCTTCTTGAACCATTTCAGGGTGCTTTTGTAGTATGATTGGGGTTGTTGTCCTGCTGCAAGACTCACAACCTTGAACAGAGACACCATTTTTGGACACTGGGTTGAACATTGAACTCCAAAACACCTTGATATTCTTCTGATTTCATGATGTCTTGCACACGTTCAAGGCCCCCAGTACCAGAGGCAGCAAAGCAACACAACAGCATTATCGAACCTCCACCATGTTAGATTGTAAGGAGGGTGTGCTTTTCTTTGAACGCTTCATTTGGTCGTTGGACTATTCGGTATGTGGCCAGCGAAGAGTCCAGATCTGAATCACATCCATGATCCATGGTGAGATCTGAAAACAGCAGGTGGAGGGCACCCTCAAACATAGCAGAATTAGAGCAGTTTGCTGCTGAAGAGTGGGCCAAATTATGAGTAGAAATGTGCAGCAAGCTCATTCATGGCTACAATAAGTGTTTCTCTACCGTTATCTTGGTCAAATGCTGTGCAACCAAGTACTAGCTCCTGGGTGCCATTCATTTTGCCCAGGCCATTTATTTTCAGTTTACACATTTAATTTACAAAAATAAAATATGTTCTGCAATGTTGAAAATTCAATAACAAGGTGTGGAGACCAAAAGTTTTTTCCAATTGCAATTTATTTAGAAGAAATAGGGAATTATTTAAGAAAAGTGCAAGGGTGCTAATATATTTGGCCAAAGCTGTATGTGAGAGTGCATCCTTATGATCACACACATACCTGGACTCTTGCCCTCCCTGCTTCAGTCTCGGATATAAACATTAGCTACATCCAAACTCCCAGCAGCTTTCAAATGGTGGTTTGAACTTTCACTATTGACAGCTTATATTTCTGAGTGGCAGTAAGGCCTTACGATCAGTACTCTAAATCTAAGCGTTGTCCATCTAAGTGAGAAGAAAACCCCAGTCAGGTTCAGCTGACACGGACTACATTTCCCATAGTTCCCATGGCTGAGTAGTAAACAAAACAGAATTGCAACGTGCACTACTTTGTTTCTTTAGCATTCATTCTTTTGTAGTTCTCTAGTATTTGTAAACTACCAGACTCGTTTCTCTAACCTCAAAGGAAGCCTTTGTGATTTGTTGTTCTGTATATAGTAATGATCAAGAAGAAAAAGTTGACTTATCTAGCGATGCTAGGCATTTCAGCAGATTCTACAGTATTTTCCATATGGATCTTGACAAAATTATTTGTCTGTTAAATAGTTAGTCACACTGAAACATGCCCCTTTCCTTGTGGTAGTTCAGTCTGTCTAGCAGACCTGACAATGTTCCCGTTTTCATTGTTAATAAATGTGGTTAACTTACTGGACTCTGGTTAACTTCTAGACACTGCAAGAAAACACATCCTCCTCACAAAGCAAACAACTACAGTATCCTTGCTTACTTTAATGTCTTTGATCAATGTCCAGGCAATGGATTGTTCTCATACTGTCTTACACAAAGTTGTTGTTGTTATTATCTATCTATCTATCTATCTATCTATCTATCTATCTATCTATCTATCTATCTATCTATCTATCTATCTATAGACAATGACAACATGTTGCTACTGTATGTAGTCAGAGACCCTCTCCCAGTTTCCTGTCGGTCCGTGGTCCCGTCCCAGAGTTCAAAGTTCACATGGTGCACGACTTGTCCAGGGGGTCTTGGGGAGGGTGCGCGGGGGGGGGGTGAGCTGGGCCCGTCTTGGGCAGCACCAGGGGCTTGGGCCTCAGGGCAGGCGGCTTGAGCTGCACCCCCATGCGGGGTACCACTACCGGCTTGAAGGTGCTCATGGTGTCGCTGGAAGAGCTGGTGCTGCGGCGCATCGGGGGCCCCCCAGCCTCGCCGGTCTGAGCCCTCAGAAGGATGTTGTGGAGGGGGCTGAGGGACTCGCTGGAGCTGGCTGGGGTGGGACCCCCAGTCGACTGCCTCTGCTCCAGGGTGTCCAGCACAACATCGGGGGCGTGCTTGGCCGAACTCTGCCTCTCCAGCTCACGCAGCTCGTTCAGCGCCGTGTTCATTGTCTCCTCTATGTCCTGCAGGTAGAGAGCGAGAGAGAGGGGAGGAGGGAGAGAGAGGGGGAGGGAGAGAGGGAGGCCAATCGAGGGGGGGAGAGAAAGAGAAAAGAACGATAGACAAGTTAAGAGAACACAGTGACATCACACTACCAGCATGCATCATACATACAGTACATGTATGTGAGCACAGTCAGGATAAGAGTGCTGCTTAAGACTGAAATCCCTGGGCATGTTCCTGACTTCAAATACCAAAGACAAGACGCAGAGATGACAAGATATATTCATCCAAGCATCTCCCAGAGACCGACAACCCAACAGAGAGAGACATCGTCCTCTCTCTGACCCTCAGCTTCCTAATTAGATGTCTCTCCACGCTGCTGATTGCTTATCATGCTTTCGCACAATGAACACTGCTACAGCGAAGATGCGCTACATTGTTATCAGAGCTCTGATAAGGTAATTGGGGCCTGTGCCGACAAAGTATTACCATGCAGACACTGATGCTGCTTTGTAATAATGACTTTATATTATCTGTTCTGACACGTAGCACTCAGACCAAATTAACAGCTTGTGTAACATTATAATATTAGATAGTCTCAAAAGCTATTTAACTCAACATCAATGTCCAAGAATCTCCGAAGCTATTTGATGCTGTAACAACACAGACACGAACAATTGTATTTTTGATATTCTTACTAGCACTGGGGTTGCTGCTAGCAGTTATTTTTGAAGAAAGTTGTATTTTTTTATTTATTTTTTGTCATTTAGCAGACACTCTTATCCAGAGCGACTTACAGGAGCAATTAGGGTTAAGTGCCTTGCTCAAGGGCACAGACAGATTTTTCACCTAGTCGGCTCGGGGATTAGAACCAGCGACCTTTCGGTTACTGGCTCAACGCTCTTAACCACTAAGCTACCTGCCGCCCTTGAAATGATTGTGATATGTGGTTGTCTTGTCTCGCCTACTTTAGCTTACTGCATTTATTTTAAGTCACTCTGAATAAGAGCGTCTTGATAACTATAAATGAAAACTAGATTGTCAATGTGAATGTGTTTGGGAGTGTTGTGACAGAGGTGTTCAGTAGTAGCAGAACTCAGAGTTAGCAGACTGACTAGGTTTACAGGGCGGGGCAGGGCTGTGCTGCTGCTGGTGGAGTGAGCTGCGCTCGTCCCGCAGTGCTGACGCTGACCTGTGCGATGGTCTCCGGATCAAGGGCCTTGCCACCACCGTGCGGGTGGGGGTGGGGCTCCTGGAACATGGCCGTGTACTGGCCCGAGCTTGTGGAGCGTCGAATGGGCGGGCTTTCGATCTTCTTCAGCGACTCGTGGCGGCTGATGTTGGTCAGGCTGCCGTGGCCGGTGCGGCGTCGGTGTTCGGGGCTATCCATGAGAAGCTGGCCGTGGTTGCGGCTCCGCAGCAGGTCCCGGGGGCTGAAGGAGTGACCCAGCACCGGGGAGCCCATCTCAGGGGTGTGAGCCTGGCCCCCGTGGGTCTGCTGGGAGGGGTGCACCATGCAGTTGACATCATTGGGGCGTGCCGGGGGGCGGCGGGAGGGGGGCTCTGTCCTCTTCCTATGCCTGCTGGGATATGGGAGAGGGCGGGAAGAGACAGACAGACACTGAGGTCAAGTCTATGGGCTTTAGCTAAACCTTTACCTTATAAACGTTGCATTGTCTGTAAACAGCCGTGGTAATGTACAGTCACTCACAGATTCTTAGTCAGTAAGGGGATATAGACTCTAGACAGAGTTGTTGAAGCCTTCTGTCTGAATGTAGTGTTCAGACGTAAACCTATATGTCAGTCCCAAAGTGCTCCTAGTAGCTTGTTCTGAGCCCAAGTAGTGAGGGCAGGCAGGGCTCCAGCACTGAGGCCTGCAGGCTGGGTCTTAATCTGCACCTTTAGCCACACAGAGCCACAGCAAGCCCTCTGCCAGCCCCCTGCCTGCCTGGGAGAAGGTTCAGCATTAAAGCTGTCCTCCATCTGAACCTGGCTGTCTCAACACACACTCCTGAACATAGATATACATTGCATTCATTAAGTATTCAGACCCCTTGACTTTTTCCACATTTTGTTACGTTACAGCCTTATTCTAAAATGGATTAAATAGTTGTTTTCCTTCATCAATCTACACACAATACCCCATAATGAAAAAGCAAAAAAACAACTTAAATATCACATTTACATACGTTTTCAGACCCTTTACTCAGTACTTTGTTGAAGCACCTTTGGCAGCGATTACAGCCTCGAGTCTTCTTGGGTATGACACTACAAGCTTGGCACATCTGTATTTGGGGAGTTTCTCCCATTCTTCTCTGCAGATCCTCTCAAGCCCTGTCAGTTTGGATAGGGAGCGTCACTGCACAGCTATTTTCAGGTCTCTCCAGATATATTTGATCGGGTTCAAGTCTGGGCCACTCAAGGACATTCAGAGACTTGTACCGAAGCCATTCCTGCGTTGTCTTGGCTGTGTGCTTAGGGTCATTGTCCTGTTGGAAGGTGAACCTTCGCCCCAGAATGAGGTCCTGAGCAATCTGGAGCAGGTTTTCATCAAGGATCTCTCTGTACTTTGCGCTGTTCATCTTTCCCTCGATCCTGACTAGTCACCCAGTCCCTGCCACTCAAAAACATCCCCACAGCATGATGCTGCCACCACCATGCTTCACCGTAGGGATGGTGCCAGGTTTCCTCCAGACGTGATGCTTGGCATTCAGGCCATAGAGTTCAATCTTGGTTTCATCAGACCAGAGAATCTTGTTTCTCATGGTCTGTGAGTCCTTTAGGTGCCTTTTGGCAAACTCCAAGCGGGCTGTCATGTGTCTTTTACTGAGGAGTGGCTTCCGTCTGGCCACTCTACCATAAAGGCATGATTGATCGAGTGCTGCAGAGATGGGAGAACCTTCCAGAAGGACAACCATCTCCACAGAGGAACTGGAGCTCTGTAAGAGTGACCATCAGGTTCTTGGTCACCTCCCTGACCAAGGCCCTTCTCCCCCGATTGCTCAGTTTGGCCGGGCGGCCAGCTCTAGGAAGAGTCTTGGTGGTTCCAAATGTCTTCCATTTAAGAATGATGGAGGCCACTGTGTTCTTGGGACCTTCAATGTTGCAGACATTGTTTGGTACCCTTCCCCAGATCTGTGCCTCGACACAATCCCGTCTCGGAGCTCTACGGATAATTCCTTCGACCTCATTGCTTGGTTTTTGCTCTGACATGCACTGTCAACTGTGGGACCTTATATAGACAGGTGTGTGCCTTTCCAATCAATTGAATTTACCATAGGTGGACTCCAATCAAGTTGCAGAAACATCTCAAGGATGTTCAATGGATACAGGATGCACCTGAGCTCAATTTCGAGTATCATAGCAAAAGGGCTGAATACTTATGTAAATAAGTTATTTCTGTTTTTTATTTTAATAAATATGCAAAAAATGATAAAACCAGTTTTTGCTTTGTCATTCTGGGGTATTGTGTGTAGATCGATGAGGAAAACATGTCATTTAATCAATTTAAGACTAAGGCTGTAATGTAACAAAATGTGGAAAAAGGGAAGGGGTCTGAATACTTTCCCAATGCACTGTACACCTGACATGCCACACACACACACACACACAGGTGCGCATCCATACGCATGGCACGCACACAGACATTCCGTTCGCACACTCACACAGACCCACAGACACGTGCAGTACATGTCTGGGTCCTGCCGCTCCACAGTAACTAATGCTCCCCTGAAGCCATCTCATTCCTCTGTAATGGGCCGGCAGAGTGGAGCAGCCCGTCATCTCTACTGGGGCTCTAATAAGACCCTGCTCTGCTCTGCATATTTATGAAACCCAGCCTAGCAGGGGGCTGTCCCAAATGGCACCCTATTCCCTATAAAGTCCAGGGCCCATTAGGCTCTATTTAAAAGTAGTTCACTATATAGGGAATATGGTGCCATTTTGGACACAGCCCAGGAGACAGCCAAATGCGTGTGCCATAATGTTTCATCACACTACCTAAAATCAGCACCAAATGTGATAGGCTGCCTGTCTGGCAGCAGTGTCGGGGGATGATATAAGAGAAATATATAAATATATTTAACCATAGAGAGATAACAATATACGATTGTTCCAGGGGATATACTCTGAGGAAAAAGTTAATTCAAAGATCTTTATGATGGGAGGTTGTGAGGGGACAAAAGTATTTTGAGGGGCGATAGGGGACTTCTTCCATTTACTAATCGTTTTTTTCGGTCCTTTTTAATTCTTCAATTTACCATTGAGATGACAATTTTTCCCTCACCACTAACATAATATCAAACTAATATTCTCTACACAACACCAGGCAGAAACCCAAAATCAATGACTTATTAGGCAACGACACAGAAATGGACAATTAACATCTACTGAGGGTTTAACATTTGTCCAAATGGGTATTGTTGTGCTGTAGCCTGTTCCCAGATCTGTTTGTGCTGTGTAGCCAACTCCTTCAGTCATTAACATGCGACAAGACCATAGTAGTTGGCAAGACAGCACAAACTGATCTGGGACCAGGCTAGCTACACAGTACTTCCGATCTCATATCAGTGTTGTGACAAAACCTTTATCTCCATCAAGTGTCATTCATGAGTCTAGCAGCTATTAATTCCCACGGGGGACCAGTATAAAAAAATATGTATTCACTAACTGTAAGTCGCTCTGGATAAGAGCGTCTGCTAAATGACTAAAATGTAAAATGTAAAATGTTAATTCCTTAATCATCCCTCCTAGGCGTGTTTCAAGTCTCAGTCTAATTCCTACCTAGTTAACATTGTCTGTCTCAGCCACCGTCATTAAGAGAGTGGAGATTCATCATGGAGCTAAATATGGGCCATGATGTGTTCTGATAGAGTATGGAGGACTGACTGGGGATTGGGAGAGGGGTCTGTTACTGCAGGGGTGAGGTAAACACATGGAGGGGTAAACACATGCATGGACTCTTCATAACCAGTAGGGGGAGTAAGATCACAACTCAATCTATGGACAGGCTTATAGGAAGGAAAAGAACTGCTACAGTACAACCCATAGACAGTCATTGGGTACTTATAAACCATATTATAAGTTATTCATGTAAGATGGCTCATGACTGCAATTTTTCCCATAGTATTGATAATGTCATACAAAAGCAAACCAGATAATACAATAATGTTCTCTGGCTGAGTACAATTAATTACTGCTGTTGTATAATAGAAATGATGTAAATGCCTGACAACATACCAGGCACTTTAGGGCTTTTGACTAGCTAGTGAGTGGATTGTTGTTGATCGAGAACAGTGGGAGTAGAAGGAGAGATATCTAAATAAAGCCAAAGATATGAATGATTCAACAGTGCTGAGCCATGTCTGCATAGAACAGTAGAGAGAGGGAGAGAGAAAGAAAGAGAGAGGGAGGGGGTTAGAGGGGGAGGGGGGAGGGTTGAGAGGTAGAGAGGTAGAGAGGAGGGGTAGAGAGGGAGAGAGGAGGGGTACGAGAGGAGAGAGGATGGGTAGAGAGAGGAGGGTAGAGAGGGAGAAGAGAGAGGAGAGGTAGAGAGGGGAACGAGAGAGGAGGGGGTAGAGGAGGGGTAGAGGAGCGGTATTAGAAGAGAGAGGGAGAGGAGGGGTTTTTAGTATGAGAGGGAGAAGAGGAGGGGTTGAGGGTTTTAGAGAGGGAGAGAGGAGGGGGGTAGAGAGGGAGATTACGGGTAGTAGAGGGAGATGAGGGGGGAAGAGAGGGAGAGGAGGAGTGAGGGGGAGAGAGGTGAGAGAGAGGAGGGGGATGAGAGGGAGAGAGAGAGGAGGGGTAGAGAGGGAGAGGAGAGGAGGGAGTAGAGAGGGAGGAGAGAGAGGAGGAGGAGAGAGGAGGGGTTAGAGAGAGAGAGAGGTAGAGGAGAGAGGAGGAGGGGTAGAGAGGAGAGAGAGTAGAGGGAGAGAGGAGGGTAGAGAGAGGGAGGGGTGAGAGGAGGGAGGGGTAAGAGAGAGAGGGTGAGAGAGAGGAGGGGTAGAGAGAGGAGGTAGAGAGAGGGGGGTAGAGAGAGAGAGAGAGGGAGAGGGGAGTAGAGAGGGAAGAGAGAGGAGGAGTTAGAGAGGGAGAGAAGAGAGAGGGAGAGAGGGAGTAGAGAGGGAGAGAGAGAGGGGTAGAGAGGGTAGGAGAGAGGGAGAGGAGGAGAGGGTAGAGAGAGGGGGAGAGAGGAGGGGAGAGAGGGAGAGAGGAGGAGGGGGAGAGAGGGAGGGAGGAGGGGAGTAGAGGGAGAGAGGAGGGGTAGAGGAGAGAGAGGGGTAGAGATGGGGGTAAGAGGTGGGTAGAGAGGGGGTAGAGAGGGGGGTTCTTAGAGAGGGGGGGTAGGAGAAAGTAGTCCTGGCTCAAGGGATCACATGAGAAAATAGAGGGGTGCCAGGGGGAGGATAACAAGGAATGGAACGCATAGCTAGGCAAAAGTATGATTCATCAACACTTATCCAGCAGAGAGACAGGTGAAGTGAGCAAGCCTTTCAATAAAACAGTATCTAAACTCGTATACAGGGCTGATGCCAGTGGCATATTTTTCAAGGTTGCCTACTCCACCACACAAATTAGAATGCAGCAATGAACAGAAGAACGAGTGAGACAAAATACTGTCACTCTCCCAGAAGCCTTCATAGTCCCTGTCAAAAAGATACACCAGGAGTGTGTGTGTGTGTATGCGTCCGCCCTAGATTGCTCTGAGAATGACCACTATGAAATCACCCCTCTATTGTATTTACACCCTGATTTTGACTGATGCCAACCATCTGAAAATGGACTTCGATTACCCACTGAATGGGACAACTCATCATCAACGATGACTCTATTGGCCATTAGGCTGAGTAGCGCTGATCTAGAATCAGGTCTCCCCTGTCCATATTATATTTTTCAAAAAAAAAGTAAAGCTCTTTAGTGTCTTTGTGAATACGGGCCCAGGTTTAGCTAACAGTGTGGATGACCCTGCATGGAAGATGGCATCTGGCCCTTCTCATGTAGACTCACTGACTAACTCCAATACTTGTCCCTCAGTGTTAGTCATAAGTAAAGCCAGGTACACATAACTTTTTTTCCTCTATTGGAACTCATTCTAGATTCATCTCCATTCCACAGAATGTTTATATTTGTACATTTAATTTTTTTACGTGCATCTACCTAATGTAATGTAGCCCTTTTGCCTTTTAAACTGTCGTTGACCACAGAGTACAGTGGAGTCGGAAGAGGGTGTGGTGGTGGTAGTCCAAGCCAGAGCCACCGACTGGCAGACAGACCCAGAAATCAAGCAGTTATTGGCTTGGCTGTCTTTCATTAGTGAGATGCCTGAGAATATTCCACAGTGAGACGTCAAGGTGTGCTGTTCCAGTAGGCTACGGTGTGTTTGTGTGTGTGTGTGTGTTTGGCATGCAACGTAAAACAGAAATGCGCGTTTCTTGTTGGACAAGTCCAAGTAGTCCCCCCAATGTTTCAGTCCGTATTCTTCTGTTTGGTGCCTAATAAATACTGCCTAACTAGGTAAGGTTGAGGTAAGATGTGGTTGAACTCACCTGCCAATGTAGGCGTCAGAGATCCTGGTGTCCGTAGGAGAGCTCATGTCTTTTCCTGAACACTTGTCCTCAGCTCCATGACCGCTGCTGGCCTCACTGTCAGCCTTTTGACTCAGCGTGTCTGAGAAATTATCATCCCTGTGACACGCACACATACACGCACAGGTGCGCGCACACACACACACACACAAAAGAAGACAAAAATCCATGCAATTTTATGCAACAATAATTTAGAAGGCGGCGACATCTGACACCACAGTGAATAGTTTAGAAGATGAAGGCATCTGAAACCACAGTGAATAGTTTAGAAGATGAAGGCATCTGACACCACAGTGAATAGTTTAGAAGATGAAGGCATCTGACACCACAGTGAATAGTTTAGAAGATGAAGGCATCTGATACCACAGTGAATAGTTTAGAAGATGAAGGCATCTGATAACACAGTGCATTGAGTTCAGTCAAGCATTCCTAACTAGCCTCTCCTCCAGGCTCATGTTGACTCATAGGCCTGGATCTATTACCCTTCCATTAGTAGTGGTGTGTCCAGGGCTGCCAGGCAGCATGACCAGAGCCAGGTGTATGGGTTATCTCATTGGGCTGTGTGTGTGACTGAGCTGAGCGCTAGCTGCATACACTATAGTTGGTGCCTGATCTTGTCAGGTGGCAGCAATCAGAGCTGCTTAGTAGCCACATAGCCTGGTGGAGTGGGGACTAATGGACTGGACTGGCTGATAAACCACCTAGGGTTACAAAGCGCAGGAATATTACCGGTCATTTTCTAATTTTACTAGTAAACTACTGGTAAATTACCAGGAGTTTTGCAATCCTACACACACCACATGTGCACGCATGCTACACACACAAGTATCACAAGAAGGATGACTGAGGCCCAGCAATCTGATACGCAAAGCTCATCTTACTGTATTTCACCCAAGTGCTTCTATACACTGAGTGTACAAAACATTAAGAACACCGGCTCTTTCCATGACAGACTGACCAGGTGAAAGCGATGATCCCTTATTGATGTCACTTGTTAAATCCACTGGATTGTGTATGGATTGTGTCAGAGGGTGAATGGGCAAGTCCCTTTGAACAGGGTATGGTAGTAGGTGCCAGGCACACCGGTTTGTGTCAAGAACTGCAACGCTGCTATGTTTTTCACGCTCAACAGTTTCCTGTGTGTATCAAGAATCGTCCACCACCCAAAGGACATCCAGCCAACTTGACACAACTGTGGGCATTGGAGTCAACATTGGCCCTGTGGAACGCTTTCGACACACACACCTTGTAGAGTCCATGGCCCAACGAATTGAGGCTGTTCTGGGGGTAAAACTCAATATTAGGAAGGTGTTCCTAATGTTTGGTAAACTCAGTGTATGCTGCACTGTGAATTTTTTCCTGGCCCCATAGCTCAGCTCTGAAAGATGATACCCTTTTATGGGGGCCGTGTGTCTCAACACTGTCTCTGAGCCTCCACACACCAGTACAGTATGCTAGGCTATGCTACGGGACACCCGGCTGGAAATTCTCTGGGTCGTTCCATTAACTAAGAAAACAGCCATCAGCGCCGGGTCCTCCCCCAGTGAATTATTGATACAGGCACATGTAGGGACAGCTGGAAAAGGACCTGCAGCACTAACAAAGGAGGAGAGCTTTATACATGCGTTTCTCTGGCCAGCTACTAAACAATGTCGAGTGTCTTTCTCGGGGGTAATTAAGAGGGTGACAGAGGGCAGAAGGGGTAATTAAGGACCCTTAGAGAACACTTGTTCATCATAGAATGGGTAGGACAGACAGAGGCCCCCAGCCCAGGACCCTGCTTCACACAGCCCTAGAGCCTTGGCCCCTCAGAGTCACTGTCAGTGAGAAAAAGCAGTGATTAATTCAGAGGAAGAACATTAAAGATGGACAGGTAATGTCACTTACACTCTGAAAAGGAACCCCAAATGGGATTAAGGGAGGGTGGGTCTTCTCTGTTAAGAGTGAAAATAAAATACTAAATACAATGTGATTGAGTGACTGATTGGTCAGTTATGTGAGTGAGCAATAGCTTGAACAGGACACAAGTTGTAATGAGGAGTCCCCTTCAAGGAAGTGGAACATTTACTGCATACAAGAGTCCTCTCTAAACAGCAGTCTTATGTATTGTTAAGGGAGTAGTGGTCTAGACTTCAAGGATGAGGACATAATGTGCAAGTACCATTATTGGAGTGCAACTACAAATCCTGCCCCACTAACGATTCCTGTGCAAAACCACTTGTCTGGATTGTAGTCTTAAAAAAACGTTTAACTTTTAACTCAACATATTATAATGTCACCAGATTGATTTATATTACTTGTCCCTGATGTCTGAAATGGAGTAAGAATATGTACATAATATATGTGATAGTATCTCCTCTATAAGCTGTCTGTGTATCTCTATGGGCTGCATACTCACATGTCCTGCACCACGATGTACTGGTGAGGTACCAGGCCGTCAATGCCGTTGTGCCGTCCCTCCCACCAGTCGTCCGATGCCCGCTGGTACAGCAGCAGGGAGGCGCCTTTCTTGAAGCACAGCTCTCTGGCCGAACGCCCCACGTAGTCAAACTTGGCAATCGCTTCGATGGGCTCACCCTCTGCAGAAGAAACAAGGAGAACAGTCAGGTATGTCAAACGTCTGATAAAGTACATGAAGGAACCCATTAAATTTTTTTTTTAAATAAGTGCTGTCAGAGTATAAACATTTCTGGCAATTACAGTGGGGAAAAAAAGTATTTAGTCAGCCACCAATTGTGCAAGTTCTCCCAACTTAAAAAGATGAGAGCGGCCTGTAATTTTCATCATAGGTACACGTCAACTATGACAGACAAAATGAGGGAAAAAAATCCAGAAAATCACATTGTAGGATTTTTAATGAATTTATTTGCAAATTATGGTGGAAAATAAGTATTTGGTCAATAACAAAAGTTTCTCAATACTTTGTTATATACCCTTTGTTGGCAATGACACAGGTCAAACGTTTTCTGTAAGTCTTCACAAGGTTTTCACACACTGTTGCTGGTATTTTGGCCCATTCCTCCATGCAGATCTCCTCTAGAGCAGTGATGTTTTGGGGCTGTCGCTGGGCAACACGGACTTTCAACTCCCTCCAAAGATTTTCTATGGGGTTGAGATCTGGAGACTGGCTAGGCCACGCCAGGACCTTGAAATGCTTCTTACGAAGCCACTCCTTCGTTGCCCGGGCGGTGTGTTTGGGATCATTGTCATGCTGAAAGACCCAGCCACGTTTCATCTTCAATGCCCTTGCTGATGGAAGGAGGTTTTCACTCAAAATCTCACGATACATGGCCCCATTCATTCAGTCCTTTACACGGATCAGTCATCCTGGTCCCTTTGCAGAAAAACAGCCCCAAAGCATGATGTTTCCACCCCCATGCTTCACAGTAGGTATGGTGTTCTTTGGATGCAACTCAGCATTCTTTGTCCTCCAAACACGACAAGTTGAGTTTTTACCAAAAAGTTCTATTTTGGTTTCATCTGACCATATGACATTCTCCCAATCCTCTTCTGGATCATCCAAATGCACTCTAGCAAACTTCAGATGGGCCTGGACATGTAATGGCTTAAGCAGGGGGACACGTCTGGCACTGCAGTATTTGAGTCCCTGGCGGCGTAGTGTGTTACTGATGGTAGGCTTTGTTACTTTGGTCCCAGCTCTCTGCAGGTCATTCACTAGGTCCCCCCGTGTGGTTCTGGGATTTTTGCTCACCATTCTTGTGATCATTTTGACCCCATGGGGTGAGATCTTGCGTGGAGCCCCAGATCGAGGGAGATTATCAGTGGTCTTGTATGTCTTCCATTTCCTAATAATTGCTCCCACAGTTGATTTCTTCAAACCAAGCTGCTTACCTATTGCAGATTCAGTCTTCCCAGCCTGGTGCAGGTCTACAATTTTGTTTCTGGTGTCCTTTGACAGCTCTTTGGTCTTGGCCATAGTGGAGTTTGGAGTGTGACTGTTTGAGGTTGTGGACAGGTGTCTTTTATACTGATAACAAGTTCAAACAGGTGCCATTAATACAGGTAACGAGTGGAGGACAGAGGAGCCTCTTAAAGAAGAAGTTACAGGTCTGTGAGAGCCAGAAATCTTGCTTGTTTGTAGGTGACCAAATACTTATTTTCCACCATAATTTGCAAATAAATTCATTAAAAATCCTACAATGTGATTTTCTGGAGAAAAAAAATCTCCATTTGTCTGTCATAGTTGACGTGTACCTATGACGAAAATTACAGGCCTCTCTCATCTTTTTAAGTGGGAGAACTTGCACAATTGGTGGCTGACTAAATACTTTTTTCCCCCACTGTATATGTCAGTATTATGTATGTCACGATTATGTATGTCTGAATTATGTCACAAATGGGTCTGGTATTATCGACCTATGATTGAAAGCAGCAGTCAGTCAGCCTATTTTAGTCAGTGTCAATAACAACTGAGCTACACACATACAATAGAGCACCCTGGACAACAGACCCTGAAGGCCCTGAACAGGGATAATTATAGTTCTTAGTGAAAGGAGATCTATACTGCTCAGTACAGTATGTTAGCCAGACTATGGACTTCTGCTGAGGTTAGACTACTAGACAATAGAGAGTCTGTATCCAAACTACAAGCTATCACAAAGACCTATGGCGATTCTGCATGGGATGTCTGAGTGAGGACAGTGTTAATAAGATAAACCCAATACAAACACTGTCATCTGCTTTTTGTTGTGAGTGTCTATGTTGTGAGTACATTACCACACCACATATAGTTTATATAATGTTGTTAGAAACGTTTTTCACATAGCCCCTTGTAACGCAGTCAGTATCACACTAAGACATAGCCGTTTCTGCTGCCAGGTGAGCTAAAAACATCAAGGAACAGTCATATGGGCCTTTCCTCTTAGGTGGCGTCAGCCATGACTCCCGACCAATGACGATACAGCAATCGTCATTGGTCAGTTTCCTTCCACCCCCAACCACCCTCCAAGAACATCCAACCACCAGAACCCATTAAGCCAGACAGGGGTCCCTGCTGCTCCCTCCCACAGCAAGGCTTCCTTGATAAGAGGTATCAGTGGAGAAGCACCACAGAGCTCAGATAGCAGGAAACCAGAGCAGCATGTGTGAAAAGCCACCATGATATTCTTTTCACACAAACAACTCAGTGAGATTCCCTGGTGAGCATCCTGGTGAGAGGAGCAGTGGAGAGGACAGTGTTTCCAAATGGAGTTAACATGCATCTTGGTTCTCTTGTTTTTTCTCCCTCTCTCCCCTCTCTGCCGTGGGGAATGACAGGTGTGTTGTGGAGTCAATAAGATGTGACAGACAGGAATTTGATCTGTCTGATTACATTTTAAATTTCATAGTGCGCACGCTCATAGACAAGGACGCTCAGACGTGCGTGCACGCATACACAAAAATAGCTGAACTGAAAAGGTCAGAGGGTCTGATATAGCAGTGTAGGATGTAGGATGCTGGTACACCCCAGTGGAGTAGTCCCATGGCTCGCTCTGCTCATGATGCGAATAGGGACCACCACCTTGGAGTGAGATACGGATACAATCGATAACGTGAGAGGCAGAAAAGAAAAGAAGCAGCTAGGCAGGCCCCAATGAATTCTCTCTCACTCTCTCTGTAAATACATCTAAAATCCTGCTTATCTGCTACAGGACATGCTGAGCAGAGACAGGGGGGGGGGGGGGGGGGTCATAGGGGAAGAGTAATGACCTGTTCAGTGTATACTACACTGGGTAAAGAGAATGCACTACTCCAACCATGGCTGTCCAACATACAGCAAAAAAAAAAGATTTACATGAAACAGCTTTTGCACTCTGAGATAAAATCAATGTGCCAGCTCATTCACCTTTGACCCTATAGTGTTTTACCAGCAGAGGGAAGGAACATCAATGTATTGACAGAGAGTGAGAAATGGGTGTCTAAAAAAAGGACACTGTCACTCGCAGTCATATTACTCGACGATGTCATGCATGTCATTGCCGACCAGAAACTTTTTACAGGAGTTGATGGAATGCAGTTAATTAAAATTGAGTACTGTCTGTAGTACGTGAAAGAACGAAGGGACACTGGGAAGTGACAACCTATTATGTCTGGGAAATGATCAAGCACCAACAATTCAAACCATTTCCCCTAGTTTTCCCCATGTGATGTTCCCCACATGATGCATGTGTTTCCTATCGCACAGACACACTCACACAGTCTTGTACAGCTAACCTTGTGGGGACATACAATTCAGTCCCATTCAAAATCATATTTTCCCTTAACCCCTAAACCTAACCCTACTCTTACCCTAACCTTAACCCAAAAGCCTAACCTTAACCCTAAACCTAACTCCTAACCCTAAAACTAACCCTAACACTAATTCTAACCTTAACCCTAAACCCCCTAGAAATAGCATTTGATCTCATGGGGACTAACAAAATGTTTACTATTCTTGTGGGGACTTCTGGTCAGGCTGAATCAAGAATAGATAAACACGTCCACACACACACACACACTCACGGAGTCAGTTCTGTAAATGTGGACTCTCCAGTTCATCCATAATGGGAGTAAATGGGCTTTAACAGAGGAGAGGGCTTGGCCTTATTGGCTGGTTACAAAAGGTGGCCAATACAACGAGAGCGAACAAAGACATTGAAGCCCTGAAGACAACTAGGATCGAACATTGACGTCAGAACTGTAAATCTGTGTAAGATCCTAAGTATTTTCAACCACTAACTGGAGGACAATAGGTCTGTGAACAGGCTTCAAGAGCCCACAGGGAATGGCAATAACATTGGGGTCAGAAAGGCTTTCCACTCAACCCGACAGGGAGACAATATTTGGACCAAAACCATGGTAGCCCGAGTTAGGTTCATATGGTTTATTAGGCTTGCTTGTCCATAATTAATTGCTTTGCAATGGATAGCTGCCATGTGTGTTTTTACCGTTCTAGAATGGAAAACTATGATGTAGCCTACGTGCTTTAATATGTACCATCAGGTGTCATTCATTAGGGCATTCAATGGAAAATGTTTGCAGTGAAAAATTGTTTTTCTTATTGGATTTCTTATGTCCAAGCAGTCAGTCCCTCCCCCGTTTTATTATTTTGCCCCAGGTGTCTTAATTTGTTAGAATGGGCATAAATGTGTCTGACTCTGAAAGAGGATGTGCTAGCAAGGCTACAGTATGTTATGAGAAGTGATGGCCTACATTTCCATCCTGGAGCTCTTGTATAAATTCTGTTTAAAGGACATCTAAAAACACTTTCAGACCTAAACGGAAAGGGATTTTTGCCTGTTATTATGATTAGGCTACTAATGTGTGCTTTTATTATTACCACGGAAACGGGTTGGGCTCCATTGTAGCCGTCCACATTGTCTGCTCTCCAACACAATTTTGAAAGTTTTTGTAACGTAGTTGTACAGCGTTTTTGTAAAATGTTTTATGTACAGTGCCTTCAGAAAGTATTCATACCCCTTGACTTATTTCACATTGTTGTGTTTTGAATTCAAAATGGATTAAATAGATTTCTCACCCATCTACACACAATACCCCATAATGATAAAGTGAAAACATGTTTTTATAAATTTGTGCAAATGTATTAAAATTAAATACTTTAAGTATTCATACCCGAGTCAATACATGTTAGAATCACCTTCGCCAGCGATTACAGCTGTGAGTCTTACTGGGCATGTCTCTAAGAGCTTTGCACACTTGGATCGCACAATATTTGCACATTATTCTTTTAAAAATTCTTCAGGCTCTGTCAAGTTGGTTGTTGATCATTGCTAGACAGTCATTTTCAAGTCTTGCCATAGATTTAAGCCGATTTAAGTCAAAACTGTAACTAAGCCACACAGGAACATTCAATGTCGTCCTGGTAAGCAACTCCAGTGTATATTTGGCCTTATGTTTTAGGTTATTGTCATGCTGAAAGGTGAATTTGTCTCCCAGTGTCTGTTGGAAAGCAGACTGAACCAGGTTTTCCTCTAAGATTTTGCCTGTGCTCAGCTCTATTCCGTTTATTTTTATCCCCCAAATAACCTCTCTAGTCCTTGCCGATGACAAGCATACCCATAACATGATGCAGCCACCAGCATGCTTGAAAATATGAAGAGTGGTACTCAGTGATGTGTTGGATTTGCCCCAAACATAATGCTTTGTATTCAGGACATAAAGTACATTTATTTGCCAATTCTCTTGCAGTTTTATTCTCTACAAAATTTCTAAAAACATAATTCCATTTTGACATTATGGGGTATTGTGTTTAGGCTAATGACCCAAAATCTAAATTCAATCCATTTTAAATTCAGGCTGTAACAACAAAATGTGGAAAAAAAGGTGTGTGAATACTTTCTGAAGGCACTGTAGTTGTACAGCGTTTTTTAAAACGTTTCCCTGAGAAGCAACCCGTTTCTGGCCTACTCAGCCAACCTGACCCCTCTGTAGCCCACGGAGGAGGTGAGTCACTGTATTTGATTTGGAACAGACCAACTCCATCGCATGCCCCTCGTCTGAGACCGGGTCCAACAGACCAGCTGGAAGAGCAGACATCTCAACTCACACATTTTACTTAGTCTGAGAAGTATATAGTTCCCTGGCCTGCAGTGCAGTGTCTCTGAGGTTGGTGTGAGTGAGGCTTATCACATGAACACATGCTGAAGTAGTTTAAAAGCATAGACAATACAGATGGTATTATTATAGACACAATCATTGATCCTCATCACTCCCCATTCCTATTTGGAGTTCAAAATAATTCCCCCAAAAGTAGTTCTATGCTGGGTATCCTTGAGTGACCAACCCATGGGATTAGGGCTCGTTGAAATGCTATCGGCTGACCCAAAAACGTAAAGATCTCTCATCACATCACCCGAGGGGTCCGGAGGGATGCAGAAGAGCCCACCAGGGGCCTGGGAGGGGGGTGCTGCTATCACTGTGTGGCCCAGGTCACATGGGGTGTTGGCGACACAGTAGGAATTAGTATATGAATAGATGCCCACATCTCTGGAGCCCAGTTCCCTGCCCCTCCAAGGTCATTCCATTTAACAGGCTGAAAGGCAGGATTATCCACACAGACCAGTGGGCTCTTGGTTTAACCCTCGCTAGACCACAGCACAGACAGTAGGGAAAGTATTATTCTGGATTTAACCCTCACTAGACCACAGCACAGACACTGGAGAAAGTCTGGATTTAACCCTCACTAGACCACAGCACAGACACTGGAGAAAGTCTGGATTTAACCCTCACTAGACCACAGCACAGACATTTTACATTTACATTTACATTTTAGTCATTTAGCAGACGCTCTTATCCAGAGCGACTTACAGTTAGTGAGTGCATACATTATTTATTTTTTATTTTTTCATACTGGCCCCCCCCGTGGGAATCGAACCCACAACCCTGGCGTTGCAAACGCCATGCTCTACCAACATCCCCTGCCGGCCATTCCCTCCCCTACCCTGGACGACGCTGGGCCAATTGTGCGCCGCCCCATGGGTCTCCCGGTCGCGGCCGGCTACGACGTAGCCTGGATTCGAACCAGGATCTCTAGTGGCACAGCTAGCACTGCGATGCAGTGCCTTAGACCACTGCGCCACTGGAGAAAGTCTGGATTTAACCCTCACTAGACCACAGCACAGACACAGGGGAAAGAAAGTGTATGCTTTTCCCATGACGTTAACATCTGGTATGTAATTACATCATAGGGTTATGAGGGTGCCTGGTTGAAGGGTACTCACCGTCCTCGCTGGTATGCGTCTCAGTGCCTCCCTCATTGTCCACCTCCTCTATGGCCCCATGCTCGCTGTAGGGACTCTCACTGTGGGGGAAGAGACAAAGTCAGAGGTCAGGGTTAGGGGTCAGAGGTTATAGGTTGAGTTCAGGCTACCATGGATACAATTGTACCCCCTACTCAATTTCATCCAGCCTCAGGCTGTATCTTAATAGTTTAAAGTGGATTCCCCCATTTGCCTCCTTTCCTTCTTCGGTAATGATGTGACACAACTGGACTGGCGAAAGCAAATACCTGGTAGTAAGTAGTATGTAAGACTTTTAGTGTAGATCAGGGGTGTCAAACACATTTTTCCCCACAGGCCACATTCAGTCTTCACCGAGGTCCGGAGGGCCGCTGTTAAAGGGGGGCTGAACGCACCGATTCCGCATGTGTTTTTCTGCTGCTCATTAAGAAAAACAAGATTTGGGTCTTGGGGGTGTGGTTCGATGTGGGTGTATAATGTTCGCATATCTTATCCTGGCAGTCACTGTCGTTTGTCCCTCCCGAGTCACGGTAGCAACTACCACTTCCTCAAAATATAAATCAAGAAATCTGTAATTCATTTTGATGTTTTTGCAGAGCAGGTCTTAGTTGCACGATTGTACATCTAGCTAAGCTGTTTGGTGCAGTATCTTTTAAGTAAAAAAATGTGCATGGAAAAAGTCAGTGCACTGCAGACAGTATAAAGTCAGCTGCTTGCTGGCTGCGCTGATGATGAGGTTGTTCTGAGAACAACCTCATCATCAGCAAGCTGTCAAACTAAAATCACTACTAGCTAGCTAGCTAAGTTCCATCTCTGTGTTTGTCAATTAAGCTAACTAGTAGTAACTAGCAGGCACTTTGAGCAGGCAGGCCACGTTAGCTAAATCAGCTTTGTGTTTCATAGCAAATCATGTTATAAAACAGGTTGCGGCAGGACACAAGATGCTCGCGAATGGGTTTTCAATTTTGGAATATTGACCAGTGGCAGTTGGGATGGAAGTGCGCATCATCTCAGTTCTCATTTTGCCCAAAACAGTAGCAGCAAAACACATCAGGAAGTGGCCACTACATTTACATTTTTAGTCATTTAGCAGACGCTCTTATCCAGAGCGACTTACAGGAGCAATTAGGGTTAAGTGCCTTGCTCAAGGGCACATCGACAGATTTTTCACCTAGTCGGCTCGGGGATTAGAACCAGCGACCTTTAGGTTACTGGCACAACGCTTTAACCACTAAGCTACCTGCCGCCCTACATAAAGGGCTTAGGGACCAATTCACATTGGCTACGTGTTGTCCTATGTAAACAAGTCAGAGTCCGAGGCCCTGCATAATAGACAGGTCTGTCTCACAGACTTTAGACTATTGCGATGCACCTACAGCCACATTGAGAGGCAGCCACCCACTATTGAGAAGCCCAAATAGAGGGCATCATCAGTATTCCCATGACAGCCTGGGTCACAGCCTGGGGGCTGCATCAGATTCAGACACGGGTCTGTCATCAACAGACACTTGTGACGTATTGCCATGACACAGCCACTTGGGTGCAGTCACAGTATTCAGAACACAGCCATGGGGCATTCATCAGTATTCCCATGAACAGCCTGGGTGCTGTTATCAGTATTCCCATGACACAGCCTGGGTGCTGTTTATCAGTATTCCCATGACACAGCCTGGGTGCTGTTCATCAGTATTCCCATGACACAGCCTGGGTGCTGTTCATCAGTATTCCCATGACACAGCCTGGGTGCTGTTCATCAGTATTCCCATGACACAGCCTGGGTGCTGTTTATCTGTTCAGACATCCCTGGCATTAATGCCCCTTAAATCTTCCACAGATTACCTCCGGCTGGCACTTAGTGCCGCTTCCCAGGGTAACACACCACCGCCACCCGCCTCGCCTCACCCACCGGGGGAGGAAGAGGGATGGAGAGACGACAACAAATCTCCCTGGGTTTGATGTGGCTCGGTCAGGGATGGCGTCCTGATGGCTGTGACGGGTGATTATCTCTGGCGGAGCTAAGGCTTACGCTCTGCCAAGGAACAGAGAGAGACGTGCTCTTCAGAGGAAGGAAGTGATAGGCTCTCCTCACAGCTGTGGAGCCATCTTGACAAACTTTACTTTGGTCTGTTTTAATGTACTTCTATGTGCTGCACTTTAGGTTATAATTAGTGTTTCCTTCCCAATCGTGATCGCTTCGGTCCGTCACCTTTTCTAGGCCAATATCTAAAGCTTAGGAGTTGGCAAGACAGCACAAACAGATCTGGGACCAGGCTAGTGCTCTTCAGGGGAAGAGAACCATAACCTCTCCCTGCTCAGCTCCTCACAGCTGTGGAGCTAGCTGGCCCAGGGACTTTACTCTGCTCTGTTTTAACATACTTCTACATGCTGCATTACTTGGATGTTAAAATGGCCGTTTCCTTGCCAAGTGACTTGTCTCTTTTCTTCTAACTTGATGAGGGTCACTATGGTGATCGATTCAGTCAGTCTCACTTCGTCAAGGCAGATATCTAAAGCTGACACAGAAAAGAGAGCTCTACCCTGTCATATTGTCTCACCACAGACACCTTAATCATTTAGCATAATTACCTGCATTAACTCTTACTAACGACGTATTGAGACCGCTGCAGCCCCCACTGCAGTGCAGAGACACACATACCTGCAGCATGGAAAATTATGTCCCATATGAAGGGGTATTTGGCTGCGAGCCTGAGTTATGATACATTCACAGGACAGGAATGAGAAAAACCCCCCTACTGGCTCCCCAGCCAACATCTCAGTGAGGCTCGTCAAAATGACATCATCGCAAGTCGCCCGCATAGAGTTTCACTAATGAATGACCCCTGACCCCACAGAAGGGCAACCCTGCTCAGTCAATAATCTCACAGGGTTCCCACAGGTCAGGGAACTTCTGGAATACCAGGGAAAAGTCCATTCCAGACAGGGAAAGCTAGAGAATTGAACACATCTATTGATACAATGAAGGAAAATCATGAAACGTCAGATTAATTGCTGTTTGGAAATGAAATGTTGATTCAAATGTATTCTTCTTTATAAAGTGTCTAAGGGTGAGAACCCTGATCTCACCAGTAGTCTCCGCCAGCCATGCACTTCTCACAGACCCTGCTCAATCGTTCAGCTCAATCGTTCAGCTCACCAGTTGCCTTTCTATTAATTCTACTTATATGTTCAGCTCACCAGTAGTCTTCCCCGGCCATGCATTTCTCGTAGACAGGCCCATCCAGCTCCTTGGTGTCGGGGAAGATGGTCTCGTGGTGGATGATGATGGTCTTGATGATCTCGTTGACGTGTGCCTGGCACGACACCTGGTCCTCGATGTTGGGTGTGGGCATGAGGGTGGGCCCGAAGCAGATGGCCAGGTTATAGGGGTCCATCATGTTCTCGTCGCTGTACTGGGACAGGCTGAGGGGGAGAGGGGGGAGAGGGAGCAAAGTGAGGGGGAGTGAGAGTGAGAGAGAAAGAGAGGGAGATAGACAGAGAGAGGTGAGAGAGACAGAGAGATAAAGGGTTTACACACAACAATCGACTTTACATTAAGTTAGTATAATCTCTAACAAGATAAAGTGGATAAACTTGGCCCTTCTCAAACACAGTGTTTTAATTTGTTTGTGTACAAACAGGAATTAGTTCTGTGTCATGCAGCTGCATTCAGCCGAGGCACCAAATTGACTGCCTATCCTCTCACTGTCTGGGTAGTGATACATTCTCAAACCTTTTTAATAACCTAACTGATCACACAGCGGCATTATGCTCCTCTCTTTATCAGCTAAGCAGTAAAACAATGAGTGCCTTTCAGGTGGAGTAAATGACTAAGCAGTAAATCTCTCCAGTCATCTGTTATCACTGGACACATTGAATTTAACGCTAGCTCATTTTCTCTCCCTGTCTCTACATACAGTAACAAACAGGAGACGTGTACTGTACAATGATCTTAAAAGGTGCAAGTTATTAGGGCTATTTGGTGATTGATTAACATGTCCCCATACAGTAGTACAGTAGGCCAGTCAATGTGTGTTTTGTACTTACAAACGGTATATCAGACAATAAAGAGTCAGTGAACAAGCCTGGGTCATATTATTCATTAGGGCACGCAATGGAAAACGATTCACAACAGGAAACAAAAATTTGCCAGGTAGTACCTCCCCCTTTCAGTCAATTTTTTTCAGTTTGATGCCTAATGAATATGACCCTGGACCGGTTGTTGACGACTTACTGGTTGAGAAAGGCGAAGAGGTAGCGCATCACGATGAGGATGGACCTGGGCACGGCGGTCAGGAGGATCTTACGGATGTACAGGGACCTCTCATACAGGTTCTCTATTCCTGGGAGGGAGAGAGAGAGAGAGAAATGTTATTACTCTAGGGGTTGTATTCAATCTTTCAATATTACTCATCATATAAATCTTAGTAATACAGACCGGAGTCATTTAGACAAAAATGATTTAGTCCGGTTGAACTGTTTTTAGCTTGAGGTATATTTCTTATCAGTATGCACAATTAAAAATACATGTATCCGAGGTGTGTGTGTGTGTGTGTGTGTGTTCGTGTTCTCTCACACACACACACACACACACGCACGCACGCACGCACGCACACGCACGCACACGCACGCACGCACGCGCGAACGGATCAGCCAAGAAGCCAACACATCCAGAGAACGTCCTCCTGTCACTGTGATTTCTGTCAGTGCGTCATCCATGCTCTTCTCTAAAATGGGTCTGACCCACCACTTTACAGGGCTGCATATTTAATGACAGTTATCCATCTGAATGTGACCACTCACTCATTGATACCCAGTGCAGGCTGCAGCTATAAATAGCACAGCAGCATATTAGGGCCGAGGCCATTAGGATAGCTCACAACTTCTATAGCCTGGTTGAACCAGACGCAATGCTGCACTCAATGGCGAGCGCAATATTCAGTATGGTTTAACCAGGTTACAAGTCTCTGGAGCCCTCACAAAGATACTAACCACTGATGAAGTTGTCTCAGAGCACAAAGCTGCTCACAATACCACTATGGATGCTTGCACTGTTCTTAGAATTCCAGTGAAGAACCGTTATACATATCATGGAGTACAATTGCACAGTTATAAATCACACCGTGATAAGTTCTGCTGTTTCCAGTTCTGTTGCTGTCCTAAACATCGAAAGAAAGTTACACTCTTCTATCAGAGGGGAGAGGGAGCGTGTGTGTGTCTTCTTTAGGTGTCTCAGAGCACAAAGCTCTGATTGTGCTCCTCTGTAGCTCAGCTGGTAGAGCACGACGCTTGTAACACCAAGGTAGTGGGTTCGATCCCCGGGACCGCCCATACACAAAAATGTATGCACGCATGACTGTAAGTCGCTTTGGATAAAAGCGTCTGCTAAATGGCATATTATTATAAGTGTCTGGACAAGAGTGTCTGCTAAAGGACTAAAACACAAATGTACAGACCTCATACTGGAGTACAAATTGAGGAAGTGGCAGAAACCAAACTACTAGGGGTGCAGCTAGACAACTGCTTATCATGGTCGTCTCAAATAACTCATCTATGTAAAAAAAAAAAATGCATGCGTGATCAGAAGGATAGCTAAATATTTACCGGGAAAGATTCTTAAGCAAACAACCCAAGCATTAATTGGGAGTCAGGTGAACTACTGTTCTGTGGTCTGGGGAAATGCATCAGCAAGTGAAATTAAGAAGCTGCATATTGCACTGAACAAAGCAGCAAGGATTGTTTTAAGGTGGAAATATGGTTATTCTGTTGTAGTCATGCATAATGCTCTTAGTTGGTCATCAATCAACAAGATAATTGAAAAAAACATGCTTATTTTATTTCACAATGTGCACCATTTAAAACGGCCAAACTCCATTCACAACAGTATTCAGTTGGTAAGAGACAGACATTCAATAAATACTAGGAATAGATTGTCCACCATCTGTGTGTTATCCAGACAGTAAATACTAGGAATAGATTGTCCACCATCTGTGTGTTATCCAGACAGTAAATACTAGGAATAGATTGTCCACCATCTATGTGTTATCCAGACAGTAAATACTAGGAATAGATTGTCCACCATCTGTGTGTTATCCAGACAGTAAATACTAGGAATAGATTGTCCACCATCTGTGTGTTATCCAGACAGTAAATACTAGGAATAGATTGTCCACCATCTGTGTGTTATCCAGACAGTAAATACTAGGAATAGATTGTCCACCATCTGTGTGTTATCCAGACAGTAAATACTAGGAATAGATTGTCCACCATCTGTGTGTTATCCAGACAGTAAATACTAGGAATAGATTGTCCACCATCTGTGTGTTATCCAGACAGTAAATACTAGGAATAGATTGTCCACCATCTGTGTGTTATCCAGACAGTAAATACTAGGAATAGATTGTCCACCATCTGTGTGTTATCCAGACAGTAAATACTAGGAATAGATTGTCCACCATCTGTGTGTTATCCAGACAGTAAATACTAGGAATAGATTGTCCACCATCTGTGTGTTATCCAGACAGTAAATACTAGGAATAGATTGTCCACCATCTGTGTGTTATCCAGACAGTAAATACTAGGAATAGATTGTCCACCATCTATGTGTTATCCAGACAGTAAATACTAGGAATAGATTGTCCACCATCTGTGTGTTATCCAGACAGAAAAGAGAAATAGGCAAAATAACCATTCGATTGAGAGCAATAAAGAAATTGAAACCAGAAACCTTTCAATATATAAATTCAAACAATACTTTAGAACCATTTAAATATAATACATTTGAAGGTTGTGCAGGACTACGGTTGTGCAGGAATCAATCTATAATTTCAGACTGATTTATCTGGTCAATATGTCAGTGTATTATGTATGTTTGTAACAGTGTGCTATATGTGAAAATGTGATCGTATTATAAATTGTATTTTAATGTTTAAGGACTCTTGGAAGATTAGTCCAAATGAGGACTAAAAGAGATCCTAATAAAATAAAATAACATCTCTGTCTCTCTATTCTCTCTTGTCAGCGAGAGAAAAAAAACTATTTATTTTTCTTAATCCATTTTTGTCACTACTGCAATAATGATCAAGGACAAACAATCTCACAAAACATCCCTTTAGTCTCATCTCAGAACGATCATACAAAGGGTTGAGCACTGATCCGTTTCACTCGAATCCGCCTATCTCTGTTCCAAAGCAGCCCATTTAATTTTTTCATTGGCGACACCGATGGCTGCCTGAAATAGTGCTGACACCGTGAAACGAGTTTGGGCCATCTGGGAGTTGGGCTTTTGGGAATACTTGTGATGTTATTCATCTTACATGAGTACCTAACTAGGTTTCCTTCTGCATGGTTCCTGAACTCTTCAGATGGATGCTATTTAAAGAACAGTCATACCCCCCCCCTCACAATCACCCCACTCGTTGCAAATCCCAAATTGAAAGACAGTAGACAGACTAGACAGGCATTTGCAATTGTACAACAGAGACCAAGTTAAAGTTCAAATGCAGCACTGTCAAAAACAAAAACATAGACAACCTTCTGATAAATGTGTTTACCCAGTGCCCAGTGAGCCAGCCATTTAAAGTAAAGGTGATACTGTGCTAAATATCTGGCTCATTCTGAAAGGAGTGGAGGGTTTTATTAATATGGAGACTGTTGGCTGGGCAAGAGGCCCACTCTCCAAGCGCTGGTATGTCAAGCCTGAGAGAATGTAGACAACAGGGAATCCCCATCACTCACACACTGACTGCACAATGTAAACCAATGCCATATCTCACAACAAACACGAAGGCGAGCGCACACACACGCTTAGGCCACATGCCAGTGCACACACAGAACCCCTCCCACACCTACCCCATCCCCCCCACCCTCACACACACCAAAGGCATTACGGCAAATGTTGTGTACAGTACATGTGACCCACACTAGCCAGTCCATTGTTCTTGAACAACAGTGGCTATTCCACTAGTCCCCCCACAAAGCCCCCACATGACATCTTATAAAGGTCAGAGCGAGTCCCACAAAGAGCGGACTAAACTATGGAAGACAGTGTAACACTGCCTTTACAGTAAGAGAACAATATGGCCGTCTGTAGTGAACTCGCCACTGTATGGTTTGATGTAAACACTACTGTAGTTGTGCGTTTATACTTTTCATCACCCAACACCAGGCTGTATGGTGAGCTTTGTGTCCTAGCTCACCCCATGAATGCTCTAGTCAGTGGAGAAGATAGACAACAACACAAAGTGGTACTATTCACCTCCAGGCACAAAGACGGGATAACACAATGCTACTGATGAACACACCACAGAAGAGTAAGTAGTAGATATGATGTCTGGTCCTGAGGCTGTTTGTGATGATTTCCCCAAAGTGGGACATTAAGAGTTGATCTGCAGAGGGTATGTGAACACTGTCTAACTAATGACATCACTTTATCTACTAGACGTCCTGTCAATGCCACTTTCATGACTCCTAGAGGGCATCTGCTCCATCTGACTGGCACAATGTATACACTTCCATTCAATATGAAGACACTAAGTTCAACTTTGCAGATATGCCAATAATGTGTGTGCTTGTTATAAGGTAGCACCCCCAGCTGTGCTGGTCCAGAGACAATGTCAAGCAGAGGTACTTACTGACGCAGGACAGTAGGTCGTTAAATCTTTCCTTGGGCAAGAGGGATTTCTCCAGGCCCCGGAAGTAGAGTTTGAGAACCCCGGCCACCGAGTTGATATCGTGGTTGTTCTCTTCATCTGTCAATGGGTCGTTACCTGGGAGACCGATAAGTGTATGTGAGGGTGTTGTATGCAGGCAATCGTTACATTTCCCCTGACTAGAAGGAAGTTTCAATCTTACAAACAAGTTATGCCCTTTGACCAGTGTAAATTATAAATGTCAATGTTTCTGCTTCTTTCATTAGCTTCATAAGTTATTTCCAGTGTCAACTAATTCTCTCAAAACAGAAAATTAAGTGGCAATTAAGCCAAGTCATATTCTGCAGCTCAAATTAACTATATAATTGATTTCCTGCATTTGCTTTTTGTTTTGTCCCTATGTGCTGCAATCCACTGATGGTATCAAATGTGTGAAGTGTAATTTGACTAACTAAAGTGGCAATCCTGGACAGTATAAAAGTATTGGGCTGACTGTACAGTAACATGTTAATAACATCCTACAGTACCTCTCTCGAATGAGTTCTTGATGTCATTGATTTCCATCTGAGACCCGGACACACGGAATATCCCTTGATGTTGAAGGCCTGCAGTGAACAAAGAATGGGAGAGGGAGAGAGAGAAGTAGAGACCAGAGAGAGAAAGAGGAAGAGAGAGGTTAGACAGAAAGGGAGACAGAGAGAGAAAGAGAGAACACACACACGTTTAGTCCATTGTGACAGGCAGCCATTATAAAAGACCACCAGTGCAAAAAGAAAAGCCAGTTTAAATCCAAACTAAAAGGCCACATCCCATTCCTCTAGCCCTTCACTTTTCCAATTAAAGATAATTAAATGAGGGAGAGAGAACGCAACCAAGTCTTACTAAAGTGCCCTCCAGTCAGGATTAGCATTTACTAAGGAGAGAGGTCAGTTCGGAACTTAATTAGTCAGGGTCTTCCCCGCTAGAGACGTCGCCGGTGTCCGCAAAATACAGTGAGAGGTCATTAGCGTCACGCCATCAAAAGCTTAAGCCGACGTGTTCTGTTTGAGTTTTATTAATGCGTCTCACAGTGATAGTCTAACTAACCTATTTGATGGTGTGTGTGAAGGGAGTGTGTGTGTGGAGTGTGTGTGTTGCATCCCATTGGCTGCATGGACAGATGCTGTAAACAAGATGGCATCTGCATAGTCTTTCCCATGACCGTGACTAAAATGGAACGGATTCTAACACAGACACGGGAAGAATGGACACACCCAGACAATTAACACTCTGAAATTGCAGCAATGTTACCCTTGACCAAACTTGGATGGGTCAAACATTGAAACGGTTGCACACAATTTAGGAGCTTTTAATAAGAGGAGAAGATTTAGCACCACAGTCATTTTGGACTGTTACCATTGATTGGCCTGCAAGAGGTGTGAAAATGAGAGAAAACCATTGCTGTCGCATTGCAAAACAAATACAAGTAATTAATGGATTACCAACTCACCATAGAGATTGATGAATCGAATACAGCTTTCGACCACACGGGGAATAGCTTGTCCAGAGTCCTTCACAATTAGAGGAAGGGCATGTTATATTAACAGATGGATTATTCTGACCTCAAATACATTACATTATTTAGTCTTTACATGCTTATTTCTTTCTACATGCATGCCCACCATTATTATACTTAATGGGTGAAGGGAGAAATGACCGGTGACATTTTACTGTAGCCACCCTTATGTATGCATTCATAAAGCCTTTATAATAACAACTACATAAGACATTATAACATCTGTCATAGGCATAAAAGGGACTACAGTAAAGTGTTACCAATGATCATGCTGAAGGTTTACCGAGACAGACTAAAGTTTTGCAGCTGCAGAACCATTCATGCCCTGCCCAGTCTCTCACAATGCCTCAATAATTTTTATAGATCACTAAATCTACAGTAGTGACTCATTGACCACACTGAGAAGCCCGTGCAAAGGGTTTCTCTTAGCCAATACAACTCAATGGGGCTCCAGTGGTACTAAAAATTGCATCCTTATCGTGTTATTGTGTTACGTCAACACTTGAGAGCACACTTGGGACACTGATAAGAGATGTGAGGTTACGTAACAGAGCCACTACCACACACTTCATATGGAGTGGCGAGTGAGCGAGAGAGAGGAGAGGAGAGTGAGAGAGGAGCTGTCCCTTTAAAGAGGACACATTCCTCCCTCAGTAGAAGGGTAACAAGAGCTGCACTCCAGAGTACACTTGGCAAAAGTACCAGCTGCTAGCTCCCTGCTTGGGCAGAGAACTCCTACATGCTTCTAATAATGTTGTGGATCAGTTTTCACCCAGAGGGAATAGACACATGGCCCTAAATACATCAACCATGCTGGGATTCCAGGAACCACCGGGTACCAATGCTCTGTAGCTGAGGACTAATCAAGATAGTCTATGTTGGGAGGAATTCAATACCTGTCAATGTAGAAGTTGCAAGGTCTGAAATAAGTGTTGGGAATTCTAAGAATTTTACAATGTAAACAAAGCCAAATTGTAAGTATAGGGTACATTTGCAATTCATAGGGTACAGGTCAAGTTGTACTTCAGAATCCAGTTGCAACCCTGGACACAGGAATATATGAATAACGATATCAGTCTGTCAGGGCAAATCTCCAGGGAGTTAGTATTGCACATCAACAAACATAGGTCAAAGTTTATCACAGTCAGGAAGTGGAGGTGATGTTAGGGGCAGAAAAAGAGACAGAAAGACAGAGATAGGAAGTCAGCATAGACAGTAGGACTGTGACGATACCAGTATCGCAATATTTTTTCCATGGCAAAATGAAAACACAAAGCAGACCAAACTCTTTGTTCCTTTAAAAACCTGCTGTATGTAAAATATTGTATGCTATAGCTTGGAAAGTAATTAAATGTGACTCTGGATGACAACATAATGATGTTTGTTTCCAACATCAGGGCGGTCTTCCTAAAGAAGTTAAACCCGCTTCGTGTTTTGTTTTCTTGCCACAATAATAACGAGTATTGCGATACTGTTATCGCCCCGGCCCTAATAGACAGACAGGTAGCAGTAGGGACACGTCCCTCTCTACTCCACTCTACCTGGTGTCTGGCGTGCGAGTTCCGTCGTCCGCGGCTACAAGGAAGCGTAGAAGGGGAGAGAGAGAGAATGAGAGAGAGAGAAAGAGAGAAAGAGAGAGAGAGAGAGAGAGAGAGAAACCCAGATTAAAATCACCACAGCAGCCAGATAGAGTACCACAGCCTAGCCCGGCCCTCACAGGCCCTCACCCCCCCACACACTGAGAACAGAGCTGGCATCAAACGCAGGGGAAGCAGCAGGGCATTGTGGGGAGGTCGTGGATTCCTTATCGCTCTGGCCACCGTCCCCTGGCTGTCACATATATCCTGCTGACAATGGCTGCTTTCATACCAGCCAGATGAGAGAGAGAGAGAAGAGAGAGAGAGAGAGAGAGAGAGAGAGAGAGAGAGAGAGAGAGAGAGAGAGAGAGAGAGAGAAGAGAGAGAGAGAGAGAGAGAGAGAGAGAGAGAGAGAGAGAGAATTTTTCTTGAGAGAGGAGAGAGAGAGAGAGAGAGAGAGAGAGGGAGAGGGAGAGGGAGAGGGAGAGAGAGAGGGAGAGGGAGAGAGAGAGAGAGAGAGAGAAATAGGGAGGAATACCAATGCCCTAGTTGACAGCAGTGACTCGGGGGAAAGATGGAGGAGACAAACATCTTCCTTCCATCATACCTCCTCCCCTGGATGCACCCTGTCAGTAGCAATGCCACCCTGGTGCTTTCCCAGCGTTTGAGACTACAGAGAGAACCGAAAAGATAGAATCACTGACTGGTGTGGTCAGCATAATGATCAGACCCCAGGAAAAAGACGAAGTGTGAGTGGTTGAGTTATGGTCATTATTATGGAAACGGTCGGAGAGACGGTCGGTAGCAGTCCGAGGCCAGGCTTGACCAGTACCTTGACAAAGGACTCCAGATTGCCATTAAACAACTTAACGTTAAAGACCGAGCGGGGCCTAGCCCTCCTATTTGTGCCACCATGAGGTTTGGGCGGCACATTGGGAGGCCTGGAAAATGGAGACTGCGTTAGAGAAATCTCCCACCATGAACTCACCAATGTCCGAAGTACAAAAATCTGACATCTGAGAGTTCAGACAAACTATGCATGCAAATGTGAACAATCCTAAACTATGACACAAAAGTGACTTATTGTGTTGTGGAGTTGTGTACGTGGTCACCCAGGGACAGCTAAGCCTGTCCTGTGAGTTTGAGTGTTAGTTGTGAGATGATGCTGGGCCCAGATCCTGATATCCCCACTAGCCTGTCACCATCTCCTAGAGAGAGAATTAGAGATGGAGGGTTTGATATCCACACTAGTCTGTCACCATTTCCTAGAGATTGAAGTTGGGTGGAAATTCTAAGGTCATGAAAATACCAGGCCTGCTGGGAGGAGTGTGAGAGGGCGCTGTTCGGCAGCATCCACCTCACAACGTCCCGGTGGGAGAGGGTGTGTGTATGCGTGTCTGTGGCATGTAGGACCGGGGGGTGGTCGTCTCATGAGTTCAGCAATCTCAGGACAGATACCAGCGGGGTTGTCCCCCTTGTCACCTCCCCCCGTTGCTCCCCTACTCATACTGACATTAACTCTACTGTCATTCTCATGGTTACATTAAAACACATTTTTACTGGAATAGGCAAGAGAAAAAAAGTGTCAAAACAATCAATATATCAGACTGTGTTTCAAAAGAAGTTGAGAATTTTCATAGAATCACCCTCAACCTTAAATATTTCCTTCCAAGAGCCTTTGATCTTAATACTAACACACAGTGCATTTGCATGCAAAGAACAGTATTTCTCCCTCTTTCTCTCCCTGTCAGAGAAAATTCAGAACCATTCTGCAACCCTGAGTGATGCAGCCAGATCTCTGTGGGCGAGAGAGAGAGGGCGAGAGAGAGAGAGGGCGAGAGAGTGTGAGTGTGAGTGTGTTGGTGCTCTTTGAAAGGGAGAATATTACCAAGCCATACCATGCTGGGCATATGGCAAATTCAAACCCTGGGGAGTCTAGAGCAGTAACATCTGGTCTCTCCCTCTCCAGGGTCAGGAGTTTGATAATAGCTAAAGTACAGTAGGGGGTTATCTACTGTGCACACAGTGAAAAGGGAAACTTTTATTTTCTTTACAAACCAGTGGCAATATCTATTTACAATGAGACAAAAATGTGTCTAGATGTTGTTGGTAATTTGACTGTAGGAGGATAAAGAGAAATGGCGTTCGCTAAATAGAGTACACTGACTTTTACTTATGGGGATAGGTTTTCAAAGAACTGAATAGAGACAGCTAAATAGACAGAAAGGGTCTTATTAATACCTAAAAGAGGTTTGTGTGTGAGGGAGAGAGAGAGTGGTAGTGTCTTACCTTGTGGTCATATAGTCCCCTTGGTGACCTGTGGAGACCGAGGGGAGGAAGGGAGAGAGGAGAGGAGAGAGAAGAGAGGAGAGAGAGGAGAGAGAGAGAGGAGGTGAGATGAGACATGGGACCTGTCCCAGAGGACCCTGCAGAGCATTGTGCACACGCTCAGTAAAGCATATGCAGCCCTGCCATCTGCCCACAACCACTGTCCTCATAGTGACACACACAATGACACAATGACTCACACACAGTAACACACACTTATACTTTAACTGCAGTAAAAAAGACAAAAAACACCTGTCTAAGCGCACACTCACAACCTTCACTTGCAATTTTACCTTCACATGCAAAAACGCATGTTTCACAAGTCAAGAAACTCAAAATCCCTCAAATTGCTCCTAACAAGAGGAGTGGTTTCAACTGAAACCTGTGAGAGTAACACCAGGGTGGGGCTAGCTTTACCTAGACCTACTTGAACACTGACACCCACGTGATTGAAAGCTTTGTAGAAGGCAGGAGTCCATGGCTCATTATAATCGAAGTCCCCGTTCTCTTCCTCAACTCCCTGTACAGCCAACAGATTGACTGAGACTGACGGATTTATACCACCCTGAGAGCTTGCTGCCTGCATTGTTAGCTAGCATTCAGCAGCAGCTCAGTGTTGACAGTTCTTAGTCAAAGGCCTTGAGGAGATCCCACCAATGTAGAACACAGGGACCCCAGTCATAATAGTCATACCGCGCTAACGCAGCATTAAGCTAACCACTAATCAATCACTAAGAGGGATAATACAACAGCACAATCCCTTTAGCTCTGACTTCGCTCGCTAATGCTGAGGTTAGCATCTCGGTTGTGAGGCCTGATGGAGAAAGTAGCACAATGGACATTTTACCGCATCGAGGGGAGATTGAAGTGGACAATTTTAGAATCAACCGAATATGTTTTTAACTGTTTCTAATTAGCTGAGTTCTAAAGCACTGCTTTTCGTTTAGAATCTGCATGCAATCTTTCCCTTTCATTTATTCAGGAGTTCCTTTACAAACCCCAGCCCACTGGACACAGACAATAGCTGAGACGTTCAGTGTATCATTTCATACATATGGAAACCTGCTTAGTTCACAACTCAGCCAAACGGACAGAGGGGACATACAGACAGAGAGGTTAGACAGACACAGACAGACAGACTAACTAACCAACAGACAGACAGGCGGGACAGCCAGACAGGAAGTAAGCCAGGTCAATGTGGGTCTCTGATCCCTTACCTTCTCCCAGAGTCCTCTTCAGCAGGTCGTGCTTGGCCTGCAGTTTGGAGATGAGATTGCTGCCCTCCAGAAACTCCCGGAATTTCTGTGGAGAATTCAGAGTGATTACTAGGGCTGATGAGCCAAGTAAGCGTTGCCTGCCCTTAAGACACCAATCTCTGATAAGGCAGCCAAGGGCAAAGGACAGAATGCCAACGGGAGTCTTTTTAAAGCTTTATCGCACCATCTTTAGACAGCCAGGAGGACAGAAAAACAGAAAATAGCCTAGCCGCTCGCTAAAGAAGAGATATTTTGGAGAGCTTTGTTTCTGAGAGTTAAAATGCCAAGAGAGGGAATACATATGATATGCAGCATTTTAAAGCTCTAACAAAACACTAGAAATACAAGCACAGCTTCTGTTCACATTCCTCAGATACATTACAACTACTACCACAAATACAGTATAAGACCATGGATCACAACCATCCAAAGTAGTCAAAATCCAATGTATTAATTTCCTAGCCATCTATCAACAGCAGTTTCCATAGTGACTGTCAGTCTGAATTTAAAGTCAGCAGAACTTACTGAACGTGTCCAATAAGAAACTATCGTTTTCGCTTTCCATTGCAAAACATTTTGCTACGTTTTGCTACTATGCACATGAATATGACCCTGCCCAGTTCTCTACAGTCATAACCCAGAGGTTACCAATAGGGGGCGCTCCACTCACCATGAAGTAGAACTGCTCCGTCTCCTGCTGGTTGGCCCTCCGTTTGGCGATGCTGGGCTTGCTGAGGTAGGTCTCCGACACGGTGGACTTCACCGACTCGGTGGAGCGGCTGTGGTGGAAACACTCGGAGACGTCGTAGTCCTCGATGGTCACCATGTCCTGGATGGTGGTCAGGGTGGCCTCCGACGTCTTCTTGATCTGGAGAGCACACAAAGAGGACCGGAGCTTTAGGATAGGTTTACAGTGCCACAGGTGTAAACACATTCAAACACATTACACTTTAAGCCTCCTGTAGCTCAGTTGGTAGAGCATGGCGCTTGCAATACCAGGGTTGTGGGTTCGATTCCCACGGGGGGCCAGTATGAAAAATGTATGCACTAACTAACTAAGTCGCTCTGGATAAGAGCGTCTGCTAAATGACTAAAATGTAAAATTTGTTTCCCTCAAATACTCATAAACTCACTCAAGTTTCCACATCTGGCTTGAAAGAGCAGTGCTCAGTGACGACCACTGACCAAATGACCCCTAAACTCCTAGGCATGGCTGGGGCGGATACTTGAGTGAGCTGCAAGGACAGCTGGAGAGGCTTTTCGTACAGTAAGTTTATACATATTATGCATGATTTATTACATCGATTTAGCTGTATGCCTATAAACAAAGGACCACATCCTCTGTAGCCTTCTTTTCACACTCAGCATGACAAATGCATCTGTCCTTGAGCATGAGTCCAGACCAGAGCAATCAATTTGCATGCACTCCGAAAGAATAGAGGTGGAAGGAAGGTAGGGAGGAATGGTACTCAGTCTCAGGCTTTAAAAACTCATTTCCATAGTGGCCACTTCGCCGTCAGCCCAAGTGCTTTTCCAGGAGCTTATAAATGTCAAGGCTTGGCCAAGCATATCCCATCACTTACAACAGAGGGACAACACCACAATGCAAGACTCCACTAGATACTGACGGTAACAGTCTCTAAGTCAAAAATATACTTATTTCCAGGGGATATGATATATTAATTGTGTAAAGCTTTAATGATTTCCATCTTATTTGCCCCCCAAAAATTCCCACCTCAGAAATCTCCCGTCTCAATTTGAGAGAAGTTCTAGGCACTGATAATACTTCCATTCCATGAGGAGGCCTAAACTGATGCCCTGATGTGATACATTTGGGTGAGACAGAGCGAAGGAGAGAGATGAGAGAGAGAGTTAGAAGAGAGTTAGGAGGTAGATAGACAGGAGGGAAAGGATGTTTTTGCATGCCAATGGCTCACGCAACGGCAGAGCGCATGTGTTCACCTGATGGAGTGGTTCAGAGAGAGAGAACGCGAGAGAGAGAAAGAGCGAGGAGAGAGCTAGATCGAGGGGAAGGAGAGAGAGCGAGATCGAGGGGAAGGAGAGAGAGAGAGAGGGGAAGGAGAGAGAGAGATATCGAGAGGGGAAGGAGAGAGCTTGAGGAAGGAGAGAGCAAGTGAGAGAGAAGAGAACGGGGAGAGGGGGGAGAGAGCGAAAGGTGAAAGAGGAAGGATAGATAGAGGAAGGAGACAGAGCGAATGAGAGCGAGATGAAGGAGAGAGCGAGCGAGAGGAAGGAGAGATCGAGTGAGAGAAAGGAGCGAGAGAGAGGGGAAAGAGAAAGGAGAGCGAGAGAGGAAGGAGAGCGAGAGAGGAAGGAGAGCGAGAGAGGAAGGAGAGCGAGAGAGGAAGGAGAGCGAGAGAGAGAGCCACTCTGCATACAACACAGAACTCTGACAGGGAGGTTAAGGAGTGTGACCAAAGTCAGAAGCCGTTCTTCTGACAGGAGAGATAGTAACTAGGTCGAGCTGTGAGCCCTTGAATGAGAAATAGTTCAAGGTGGGCTTGACTACGTCAATTCATCTCAATCTCAAAGTCAGACTCGGGCATACCATAGTCAAAGGGAGTGTTCCTTTGGTTCCACATAGCTACTATACACACAGAGACAGGAATGTATTATAGCTTGTTTCTAATTGTCTGACCCATGACTCATTCAACGTTTGAGGCACCTTAGAAAAACAGGGTGGTATGAATGAATAACCCCAAGTCTCTCTTTCATTCAACTCCCCTTTCATCTACGTGCTGTAACGGTTAGGATCACACGACTGATTCTGTGCGCACACACACACACACACACAATGCGGCTGTAGTTACACTGTCATTCGTCTCTAAGTGGAGCATAGACCAGAAACAACACTACAGGTCTGGACAGGGATAATGACAGTCTACGAGAGGAAATGAAGGACTGGCAGGCAATTCAACTTCTAATAAGAGAAGATTCAAATAAAAAAAAGTCTACCTGACAGTTTGAGAAGTTTGATCTATAGTGTGGTGATTAAGGACGTCTGATGATGACATAGTTATTGTAGTTCTACTTTCAATTACTAAGGGAACTGGGTTATTTGATAGTTATTTATAGTTTCAGATGAAGAGTGATAATACCGAGGAATGAGGGTGCTCAAAATACTTCCTTTTCCAACATTCTGCTTTGATAGGATCAAAAGACCTGGGTCTTCCTAGACGCTTTGTGAATACGCGTACTGAATATGAGTCCAGAGTTGTACTATTTAGGACCAGCCCATGGGTTCAATCATCTCTGTGCCCTGGGCATAGGAGTACCTTTCCTAACAAGCCCCTGAATAAGAGGCGAGCCCCCGCTCTACCAGCCTCTCCCGGGTGGGACAGTGGAGGCCAAGGGGCCCAGCTATCACAGTATGGATAGGACCCATGCATGAAAGTCACTCCATCATTCAGCAGACTTCTAGTTACCAGTGTTCTGCTAGGCTCAATTACAGCAGGGCTTTTAGATGGAGACGCTCACTGGGATCTGCCCATTGGTGCCCAGCAGGATCAGACCAGGAGGCCTGGATGTAATCCCTGAGACTACGAGGCCAGAAGGAGTAAGACGCTTGTTCCTAATGGAATATAGACATTTCTGATTACCTTGATTCTAGAAATACAGACCTTCTTGATATTTGGCATTTAGGGTCTGCATCCTCATGGTGTACTTGCCTTCTGAACTCTGGGGGTTTCTGATTTCATGGGCAGCCTGACAAGCGACTTCGCAACTAGCACGTCGCCTCCAGTATAAATAGCAGGATTTCTATTCCTCAGGGCCTGTGGTGAGTAGCAGGCTAATCTCCGGATCATTGAGTCAGGGCTGCGGCAGGCCAACACTGAGCTAACACTGAGCACACATCTCCCAGGCTTTGATGTGACACCCTGAGGTTTATCTGTAGAAAAACAAAACACCGGCTCCCTACAAAGGAGACCGTATTGGATTGTCGGGGTTTAGTGCAAAACGCCTGGAGAATATTCATTAAGTTCGGTACACATCTAGCGAGAGATAGAGACGCTGTCTGTATCCGTCTAAAGCAAAGGGAATTTAAATTTAAATCACTAGATTATTAGCTAGCTCTGAGAAATACCCACGTGGAATGGCAAAGGAATTGTAATGAACACAACGCTGTCCTCAGAAGTAGAGGTTTAACCAACACAGCAGAACATACTCCATAATTTCTGCAGATATATCTGCATATATACTGTACATCCAGACATCTTTAGAGGGGCACGCAAATCAGACCAGGGGGCCATCCTATGGTGAGTAGCTTTCAGAGACTTCCTACTCTCATGCCAATCAATTATTCATCCATGTTTTCCTTCATCCTCTCGTGCAGTCAAGGAAACCGCTGCAGATCATGATACCAGAGAAAAACACAACAAAACCCAGCTTTTCACTTTTCCTGGCTGGAGTAGATCTTGGTCCGTCAAATCCTTGCCTCCGCTGTCCTCTTTTCCTCAATTCCTCTCAAACCGCATTGGAGGAGAGGATCCAAGACCCTCCCTCAGACCTCTTCGAATGAGCTTGGAGAGGAATTGAGGAAACAAGGACGGAGGAAGCAAGGATTTGACAGCTAGTAACGTGTGTGTACAGTTCTGCTTCAGCGTCTTTAAATGACATCCCCTGGAAAGGCCTTTTCAATGAGACACCAGGAAGAGGCCATCTGCTGGACTTGACACGGAGCAGTGGTTCCCCGTCCTGATCCATGTGTGGAGCATCCGTTTCAACCAAGCAGACAAGGGCATGCAGCACCATGGCTTTTCACGAACCTCCACCCAGATGGGTCCTGCCTGCACTGACTACATACATGCAGTGTGAAAGCACCAGCTGGGCTTAGGTGTCAACAACAACTCCTATACAGAAATACATTGCACACCCAGTGGGATAGCCTGAGCCTTGTAGCCCACTCTGAAACACACCACTCAAACCACAAACATACAGTAGAGGACTAGACTCTACAATGAAGAAGTAAAAAAGATACGGAGATCTTGCAGACATACTATGCAACATCTGACAAAAACACATACAGTGAGGGAAAAAAGTATTTGATCCCCTGCTGATTTTGTACGTTTGCCCACTGACAAAGAAATTATCAGTCTATAATTTTAATGGTAGGTTTATTTGAACAGTGAGAGACAGAATAACAACAAAAATATCCAGAAAAACGCATGTAAAACATTTTATAAATTGATTTGCATTTGAATTAGGGAATCAGAAAGATTTCTGGCTCCCAGGTGTCTTTTATACAGGTAACGAGCTGAGATTAGGAGCACACTCTTAAAGGGAGTGCTCCTAATCTCAGCTTGTTATCTGTATAAAAGACACCTGTCCACAGAAGCGATCAATCAGATTCCAAACTCTCCACCATGGCCAAGACCAAAGAGCTCTCCAAGGATGTCAGGAACAAGATTGTAGACCTACACAAGGCTGGAATGGGCTACAAGACCATCGCCAAGCAGCTTAGTGAGAAGGTGACAACAGTTGGTGCGATTATTCGCAAATGGAAGAAACACAAAAGACCTGTCAATCTCCCTCGGCCTGGGGCTCCATGCAAGATCTCACCTCGTGGAGTTGCAATGATCATGAGAACGGTGAGGAATTAGTCCAGAACTACACGGGAGGATCTTGTCAATGATTTAAAGGCAGCTGGGACCATAGTCACCAAGAAAACAATTGGTAACACACTACGCCGTGAAGGACTGAAATCCTGCAGCGCCCGCAAGGTCCCCCTGCTCAAGAAAGCACCATCTGAATGATTCAGAGGAGAACTGGGTGAAAGTGTTGTGGTCAGATGAGACCAAAATCGAGCTCTTTGGCATCAACTCAACTCGCCGTGTTTGGAGGAGGAAGAATGCTGCCTATGACCCCAAGAACACCATCCCCACCATCAAACATGGAGGTGGAAACATTATGCTTTAGGGGTGTTTTTCTGCTAAGGGGACAGGACAACTTCACTGCATCAAAGGGACGATGGACGGGGCCATGTACCGTCAAATCTTGGGTGAGAACCTCATTCCCTCAGCCAGGGCATTGAAAATGGGTCGTGGATGGGTATTCCAGCATGATAATGACCCAAAACACACGGCCAAGGCAACAAAGGAGTGGCTCAAGAAGAAGCACATTAAGGTCCTGGAGTGGCCTAGCCAGTCTCCAGACCTTAATCCCATAGAAAATCTGTGGAGGGAGCTGAAGGTTAGAGTTGCCAAACGTCAGCCTTGAAACCTTAATGACTTGGAGAAGATCTGCAAAGAGGAGTGGAACAAAATCCCTCCTGAGATGTGTGCAAACCTGGTGGCCAACTACAAGAAACGTCTGACCTCTGTGAATGCCAACAAGGGTTTTGCCACCAAGTACTAAGTCATGTTTTGCAGAGGGGTCAAATATTTATTTCCCTCATTAAAATGCAAATCAATTTATAACATTTATGACATGCGTTTTCTGGATTTTTTTGTTGTTATTCTGTCTATCACTGTTCAAATAAACCTACCATTAAAATTATAGACTGATCATGTCTTTGTCAGTGGGCAAACGTACAAAATCAGCAGGGGATCAAATACTTTTTTCCCTCACTGTACCTATACATTTTCTTTAGTTGTATAATCAAGCCGGTCTGAAATCGTTCTTCACATTTACAAGCATTCTTTCCCAAGTCATTCTTTCTTTGTGATATAAAAGAGAGAAGGCTGTGTGCGCTGATGTGAGTGGAGATAGAAGAAGCAGGTCAGACGTGAGACAACAAGAGACAAGAAGCCAGACTGATGGACGTGACTGCACTCCCTAACACCACAGCAGCAGACAGTAATTTCCTTCCCATTGGCTTTTTATTTAGCAATCACTCAGGCATGTCAGCCAGCCAGCCCGAGTCCGATTAAAATGTTACAGCCAGGGATGCACCTCCAATGTCGAAACTGAGAGAAGTGGGACAGAGTGTACAAATAAAAGAGACTGTGTGTGTGTGTGTGTGTGTGTGTGTGTGAGAAAGACAGATTTATTTATTCCAACATTGGGAGCGAGGGAGAAGACTTCTCTGTGTGGTTCTGAAGGCTGCCTGCAGCGTAGGAGAGAGTTTTGTTGTATGGAAACTATTGCAACTTCGATTTCTGATAGATTTAAGCCGTCAACTCTCCTTGGCTACCTTCTGACTGAAGTGAACTTTTCATACAGCATTTCCAACCCTTCCCAACATGCGACCACAATGGACCCAAATGCAAGCAGAGGATGTTGGTTGGCGTGGTTCCCTGCCTAAGCGAGTCAGGGTTGTGTTCATTAGGCTCCAAATGGAAAAAACTGACTGAAACAGGGAGGGACAACTTGGACTTAAAGACTAGCTGGTCCAATAAGAAACACTCATTTGTGTTTTTCATTGCAATACTTTTTCTGTTGCATACCCTACTGAATACGGCCAAGGTATGGCAGAGTTATGCTCCCTCTTACCTCCTCGTTCTCGATGTTCAGAGTGGCCAGGCGGGACTGTAGCTGCTGGAACCTCAACATCAGCTCTCCGCTCACTGGCGGCTGCATCGCAATCTGGCACACCTGGACAGGAAGAGGAAACAAATCATCACTAAACAGAAAGTCACTTCATCACCACCGTCTGACAGAGGGCTTACTTAATCTTATCCTAAAATGGCAAAGACATCAGAAATTTGGTTTAAACTACACCACAAAAGGTCACTGACCCAGATTTGAATCCAGACAGCCACAGACCAATAGCTTGTAAACAGACATGATATCAGGGACCCCAAAGCCAACGACTCCACAGTAAAATTGATTCAGCGTGTTGCGCTGCTCCTCGACTTGAAGCTGAGAAATGAGACGTGCTTGTCATTGGCTTCGGCCTATAAAAATCTGCTCTGCCGGCCCAGACACAGTAAAACGGTGCAATTAAGCTGCCAAAGCCAGGGCTCATTTAGTACAAGACCTTTTAATCAACCTCTCATTTACATCCACCCTGAACAGCATATAGGACTGAACATATCGGTTCTGTTAAACAAACTGAGGTCTCCTCGACCATTAGGACAAACAGCACTAGCTTTCACTACAGTAATGGATTAATGAATGAATGAGTGGATAGATGGATGGACAAATGGACACAAAGAACAACAAGCCTGTGGGTCTCTCAATGTCTCACCTCATCGCCCATGTGGGACTGGAACTGGAACTTGATGGGCGGGCAGAAGGCTGTGGGGTACAACTCCATGAAGCGCTGGCGGTCGCTGCGGGGGTCCAGGCTGTCCACGGCGTTCTCGATGATGTCTAGGCCCTCATGGCGACTAGTCTCCAGGTTGTACTCAGCCGATAGGTAGGTCCGCAGGGCACGGTTCAGGCTGGCGTGGTAGCCCAGATCACAGCACTGGTAGAGGGGAAGGTGAGACTGTATTGGATCAGGATGCCCCGTTTACTGCAACTTCTGACAAACTGATAAGAAGCTTCTTGTAGAACGTTGCAGGCACTAAAATATTAAGTCCAGCCACGGTACAGGGTTTTAGAAAACTAGCTTTTTAGTGCCCACAACAGTACACCAAACACATTCTGCAGACTGTCCTAAAACATGACATTTCGTTTCCAGCAAAAACACATACGTTTATGGAAAAACCAACAACTTTGTAACGGTTTCAACACGGTCGACAATGTCTGCTCTCTTAGTCTCTCCACACACTGTAGTAATGAACATTATTGGCCGTTAACTGAGTAGTCTGATACTTTCTCTGACAGCTGGCTTGGCCCAGAGTTATAGAACCTGAATACTGTTTCCAACATGAATACTGTTTCCAACATCTGATGCTGGATCTCATTAACTAGGACCTTGGTAAACCAGGGCCTGTGAGTTCACACAGACAGCCTTGGAGGTGATGGAAGACACCCAGACACAGGAGCATTGTCTGCCAGGCTACCTAATGCCCTGCTTGTCCACATTACATTGGTCGTTATCTGTCCAATTCATCAACTCTCATTTTTTGAACAATTGACTGTCAACTCTTATGACAGACTGCACAACATACTAAAACAAGTGCACGCACACACCCACGGACACTGGTACACACAAACACACATGCACAAACACGCAGGAGCTCACACACAGGTACACATACGCGCACACACCCTAGTGATTTACAAAGGCTTGAGAGCAGGAGGGAGGGACGAGGTGCACATTTTAGCACTCAGCATGGCCCTTCCTCACCGTCTGTCTGGAATACACAATCGCTAAAAGTACCCAGCGTTCTCCCGGGTTGTCCTGGCAACACCGGATAAATGGTTCAGTACATTATTTCTAAGGGGGAAAAATAATCTCCCAGGTAGGCTAGTGTATAAGTAAGTCCCGTTTATAGGTCTGGGTTCTGGAAGAGAAAACAAAGCCATCTGCTTGGTAGGCAGAGTAGAGAACAGAAGACAGAGTACAGAGTGGTGATAGGAGGGATGGGATGGCTGACCTGCAACACACACCAGCAATTCCCAAATATGGGTTTAAGGGGCAGGGTCTTTCCCAAACCCCATTCAAGCTAAAGATGCAATAATGTATATGTGTGTGTATGTACAGTGCATTTGTTACGTTACAGCCTTATTCTAAAATGTATGAAATTGTTTATTTTTCTCTCATCAATCTATCTACACACAATACTCCATAATGACAAAGCAAAAAACAGTTTTTAGAATTAAAAAACTGAAATATCACATTTACATACGTATTCAGACACTTTACTCAGTACTTTGTTGAAGCCCCTTTGGCAGCGATTACAGCCTTGAGTCTTCTTGGGTATGATGCTACAAGCTTGGCACACCTGTATTTGGGGAGTTTCTCCCATTCTTCTCTGCAGATCCTCTCAAGCTCTGTCAGGTTGGATGGGGAACGTCGCTGCACAGCTAGTTTCAGGTCTCTCCAGATATGTTGGATCGGGTTCAAGTCCGGGCTCTGGTTGGGCCACTCAAGGACATTCAGAGACTTGTCCCAAAGCCACTCCCGCGTTGTCTTGGCTGTGTGCTTAGAGTCGTTGTCCTGTTGGAAGGTGAACCTTCACCGCAGTCTGAGGTCCTGAGTGTTCTGGAAAAGGTTTTCATCAAGGATCTCTCTGTACTTTGCTCCGTTAATCTTTCTCTCGCTCCTGACTAGTCTCCCAGTCCCTGCCGCTGAAAAACATCCCCACAGCATGATGCTGCCACCACCATGCTTCACCGTAGGGATGGTGCCAGGTTTCCTCCAGACGTGACGCTTGGGATTCAGGCCAAAGAGTTCAATCTTGGTTTCATCAGACCAGAGAATCTAGTTTCTCATGGTCTGAGAGTCCTTTAGGTGCCTTTTGGCAAACTCCAAGCGGGCTGTCATGTGCCTTTTACTGAGGAGTGGCTTCCGTCTGGCCACTCTACCATAAAAGCCTGATTGATGGAGTGCTGCAGAGATGGTTGTCCTTCTGGAAGGTTCTCGCATCTCCACAGAGGAACTGGAGCTCTGTAAGAGTGACCATCGGATTATTGGTCACCTCCCTGACCAAGGCCCTTCTCCCCCGATTGCTCAGTTTGGCCAGATGGCCAGCTCTAGGAAGGGTCTTGGTGGTTCCAAACTTCTTCCATTTAAGAATGATGCAGGCCACTGTGTTCTTGGGGACCTTCAATACTGCAGAAATGTTTTGGTACCCTTCCCCAGATCTGTGCCTCAACACAATCCTGTCTCTGAGCTCTTCAGTAAGACCATCCTACTGCCAATGTTTGTCTTCCAAGATTGCATGGCTGTGTGCTCAATTTGTCTGTCAGCAACGGGTGTGGCTGAAATAGTCGAATCCATTAATTTGAAGGGGTGTCCACATACAGTATGTATGTATGTATGTATGTATGTATGCATGCATGCATGTATGTATGTACAGTACCAGTCAAAGGTTTGGACACACCTACTCATTCAAGGGTTTTTCTTTATTTTTACTATTTTCTACATTGTAGAATAATAGTGAAGACATCAAAACTATGAAAAAACACATATGGAATCATGTAGTAACCAAAAAGGTGTTCAACAAATCAAAATATATTTTATCTTTTAGATTCTTCAAAGTAGCCACCCTTTGCCTTGATGACAGCTCTTGGCATTCTCTTGGCATTCAGCTCTTGGCAGCTCTTGGCATTCTCTCAACCAGCTTCATGAGGTAGTCACCTGGAATGCTTTTCCAACCGTCTTGAAGGAGTTCCCACATATGCTGAGCACTTGTTGGCTGCTTTTCCTTCACTCTGCGGTCCAACTCATCCCAAACCATCTCAATTGGGTTGAGGTCAGGTGATTCTGGAGGCCAGGTCATCTGATGCAGCACTCCATTACTCTCCTTCTTGGTGAAATAGCCCTTACACAGCCTGGAGGTGTGTTTTGGGTCATTGTCCTGTTGAAAAACAAATGATAGTCCCACTAAGCCCAAACCAGATGGGATGGCGTATCGCTGCAGAATGCTGTGTTAGCCATGCTGGTTATGTGTGCCTTGAATTCTAAATAAATCACTGACAGTGTCACCAGCAAAGCACCCCCACACCATAACACCTCCTCCTCCATGCTTCACGGTGGGAACCACACATGGGGAGATCATCCGTTCACCTACTCTGCGTCTCAGAAAGACACAGCGGTTGGAACCAAAAATCTGGACTCATCAGACCAAAGGACAGATTTCCACCTGTCTAATGTCCATTGCTCGTGTTTCTTGGCCCAAGCAAGTCTCTTCTTATTATTGGTGTCCTTTAGTAGTGGTTTCTTTTTAGCAATTCGACCATGAAGGCCTGATTCACACAGTCTTCTCTGAACAGTTGATGTTGAGATGTGTCTGTTACTTGAACTCTGTGAAGCATTTACTTGGGCTGCAATCTGAGGTGCAGTTAATTGCCGATATCTGAGGCTGGTAACTCTAATGAACTTATGCTCTGCAGCAGAGGTAACTCTGGGTCTTCCTTTCCTGTGGCGGTCCTCATGAGAGCCAGTTTCATCATAGCTCGATGGTTTTTGCGACTGCACTTGAAGAAACTTCCAAAGTTCTTGACATTTTCCGGATTGACTGACCTTCATGTCTTAAAGTAATGATGGACTGTCATTTCTCTTTGCTTTTTTGAGCTGTTCTTGCCATAATATTGACTTGGTCTTTTACCAAATAGGGCTATCTTCTGTATACCAACCCTACCTTGTCACAACACAACTGATTGGCTCAAACACACTAAGGAAAGAAATTCCACAAATTAACTTTTAAGAAGGCACACCTGTTAATTGAAATGCATTACAGGTGACTACCTCATGAAGCTGGTTGAGAGAATGCCAAGAGAGTGCAAAGCTGTCATCAAGGCAAAGGGTGGCTACTTTGAAGAATCTCAAATATAAAATATATTTTGATTTGTTTAACACTTTTTTGATTCCTACATGATTCCATATATATATATATATATATATATATATATATATATATATATTTACATTTACATTTACGTCATTTAGCAGACGCTCTTATCCAGAGCGACTTACAGTTAGTGAATACATATATATATTTTTTATACTGGCCCCCCGTGGGAAGCGAACCCACAACCCTGGCGTTGCAAACGCCATGCTCTATCAACTGAGCTACATCCCTGCCGGCCATTCCCTCCCCTACCCTGGACGACGCTGGGCCAATTGTGCGCCGCCCATGAGTCTCCCGGTCGCGGCCGGCTGCGACAGAGCCTGGATTCGAACCAGGATCTCTAGTGGCACAGTTAGCACTGCGATGCAGCGCCTTAGACCACTGCGCCACTCAGGAGATATATATATATATGTTATTTCATAGATTTGATATCTTTATTATTGTTTGTAGGTGACCAAATACTTATTTTCCACCATAATTTGCAAATAAATTCATTAAAAATCCTACAATGTGATCTTCTGGAAAAAAAATTCTCAATTTGTCTGTCATAGTTGACGTGTACCTATGATGAAAATTACAGGCCTCTCATCTTTTTAAGTGGGAGAACTTAAGCAAAGAACTTAAGCAAACCGGATGGACATCATGAAAATGATCGGAGAGGTTGAGAGTAGAAGAAGTTCAGGAGAAAGAACAAACAAAATGTAATTATTGTAGAATTGACTGTGTCCATAAAATGTAGATAGTGGGTATGGGCTGGAAGTAGAGGCCTAGGCGTTGTTGTTCACTAGTTTACTCCAAGTGGGGAAAGGGTGGCGGGGTTGGAAAGTAATAAAGGATATGTATGTATGTATGTATGTGTGTATGTGTGTGTATATATATGTATATGTACAGTGGGGGAAAAAAAGTATTTAGTCAGCCACCAATTGTGCAAGTTCTCCCACTTAAAAAGATGAGAGAGGCCTGTAATTTTCATCATAGGTACACGTCAACTATGACTGACAAAATGAGGAAAAAATTCCAGAATATCACATTGTAGGATTTTTTATGAATTTATTTGCAAATTATGGTGGAAAATAAGTATTTGGTCAATAACAAAAGTTTCTCAATACTTTGTTATATACCATTTGTTGGCAATGACACAGGTCAAACGTTTTCTGTAAGTCTTCAAGGTTTTCACACACTGTTGCTGGTATTTTGGCCCATTCCTCCATGCAGATCTCCTCTAGAGCAGTGATGTTTTGGGGCTGTCGCTGGGCAACACGGACTTTCAACTCCCTCCAAAGATTTTCTATGGGGTTGAGATCTGGAGACTGGCTAGGCCACTCCAGGACCTTGAAATGCTTCTTACGAAGCCACTCCTTTGTTGCCCGGGCGGTGTGTTTGGGATCATTGTCATGCTGAAAGACCCAGCCACGTTTCATTTTCAATGCCCTTGCTGATGGAAGGAGGTTTTCACTCAAAATCTCACGATACATGGCCCCATTCATTCTTTCCTTTACACGGATCAGTCGTCCTGGTCCCTTTGCAGAAAAACAGCCCCAAAGCATGAAGTTTCCACCCCCATGCTTCACAGTAGGTATGGTGTTCTTTGGATGCAACTCAGCATTCTTTGTCCTCCAAACACAACGAGTTGAGTTTTTACCAAAAAGTTCTATTTTGGTTTCATCTGACCATATGACATTCTCCCAATCCTCTTCTGGATCATCCAAATGCACTCTAGCAAACTTCAGATGGGCCTGGACATGTACTGGCTTAAGCAGGGGGACACGTCTGGCACTGCAGGATTTGAGTCCCTGGCGGCGTAGTGTGTTACTGATGGTAGGCTTTGTTACTTTGGTCCCAGCTCTCTGCAGGTCATTCACTAGGTCCCCCCGTGTGGTTCTGGGATTTTTGCTCACCGTTCTTGGGATCATTTTGACCCCACGGGGTGAGATCTTGCGTGGAGCCCCAGATCGAGGGAGATTATCAGTGGTCTTGTATGTCTTCCATTTCCTAATAATTGCTCCCACAGTTGATTTCTTCAAACCAAGCTGCTTACCTATTGCAGATTCAGTCTTCCCAGCCTGGTGCAGGTCTACAATTTTGTTTCTGGTGTCCTTTGACAGCTCTTTGGTCTTGGCCATAGTGGAGTTTGGAGTGTGACTGTTTGAGGTTGTGGACAGGTGTCTTTTATACTGATAACAAGTTCAAACAGGTGCCATTAATACAGGTAACGAGTGGAGGACAGAGGAGCCTCTTAAAGAAGAAGTTACAGGTCTGTGAGAGCCAGAAATCTTGCTTGTTTGTAGGTGACCAAATACTTATTTTCCACCATAATTTGCAAATAAATTCATTAAAAATCCTACAATGTGATCTTCTGGAAAAAAAATTCTCAATTTGTCTGTCATAGTTGACGTGTACCTATGATGAAAATTACAGGCCTCTCTCATCTTTTTAAGTGGGAGAACTTGCACAATTGGTGGCTGACTAAATACTTTTTTTCCCCACTGTATTTCAACTGTACTGTGATGTCAATGTAGGAAATAGTAAAAATAAAGAAAAACTCTTGAATGAGTAGGTGTGTCCAAACTTTTGACTGGTACTGTATGTATTATCTGTATGTCTGTACTCTCTGTCTGTACTGTTGGTCATGCAGTATGGTTTAACATGAGGACGGAGGGTAGAATAGTAGAGTAGCTCGGATCACAAACGCTAATAATCTCCTGGGCATTTCCATCCCACAGTCTGTCTGGTGTGTCCTCTCTCACCATCGCTCAGATTTCAGCTCTGCTGCTAAACTCAGTTCATTTCTACAGTTCAGAGGTCAAAATGCACTCAGAAAATACTGCTGAATGGCAGGGTTTCTTCAGCATTATGAGGATAGAAGAAGAAAAAAAAAGAGTAATACAATTGACTGTAGCAGTGAGATGTGATTTTTGAAAAAACATTGATTGGGTGGCAGACGACTTCATTTGAAGTCTGGGTAGAGGGAGAGGCTTAGACTGAGAAGCAGCTCTCCGTTTGTGGCAGAATCTCTCCGCAGCTTCCCTCTATGCAGCAGACAAACACTGAGTGTACAAAACATTCAGAGGGTGAATGGGCAAGACAAAATATTTAAGTGCCTTTGAACGGCGCACCGGTTTTTGTCAAGAACTGCAACGCTGCTGGGGTTTTCATGCTCAACAGTTTCCCGTGTGTATCAAGAATGGTCCACCACCCAAAGGACATCCAGCCAACTTGACAACTGTGGGAAGCATTGGAGTCAACATGGGCCAGCATCCATGTGGAACGATTTCGACACCTTGTAGAGTCCATGCCCCAACAAATTAAGGCTGTTCTGAGGGCAGGGGGGAAACTCAATATTAGGAAGGTGTTCTTAATGTTTTGTACACTCACTCAGTTTACACATTCCCTCAGCTCTTTAGGGCTGTGTCTGAAATGGCACCCTACACCCTTCATAGTGCACTACTTTTGACCAGGGCCCTTAGGGCTCTGGTCAAAATAAATGCACTATGTAGGGTATATGGGGCCAATTTGGATGCAGCCAAGGGGTTATTAACGAGAGAAGAGGGAGTAGACGCTGTTCGGTAACACACTGTCTAATCTGACAACCAAACGTTCCCAGTTTTAGAGTACAGATGAAGGAGTCTGTTCTTTAGCTTGAAGTTTCTTCCAATGATTTACTTACGTCAATTAAGTCGGACAAGTCGTGGATGTAGTACTTGAAGACGGAGGAATTTGTCGCCTCCAGTGTCAGCAGGTACTCGTTCCGTGCTTTGATTGACTTCAGCTTGTTCTCCGAGTACTTGGCCTGGCGCTGATAGATATATATATATATGAATGTGTGAGTGAGAGAGAGAGAGAGAGAGCGAGAGAGAGAGAGAAATTAATGAGCAAAAATGCCTTTATGGACAGCTGAGCATGCTTTCATATCTGCATGCACACAGCTCTCGCACAACACAACTCAAGATGATTGGCAAACAGGAGCTGGCAGACATGCTCATTCAGACTTCCTTCTTCCTCCCTAGCTGCCTGCCAGACACAGACTGTTAGTCACTAGCCAATGACAATGGACACTGACTCACCCACTGACACGGTCTTCCATATTTTAACGTTTCCCCAATCCCAACGCATTCCAGGAAAAGCCTGTGAGAAAATGCTGTTCCTGTGGCCATTAAACTATTGGTCACGGAGTTCTAACAGAAAACAGGCCTGTTCCTTCCGAGAAGAACACAAAGCAGTCTGGCTGTAAGTTAGAGTGTTCATAGTGTGGTTTCCATCTCTCTCACACACACACACACACACACACGACACAGACACGACACAGACACAGAGACACGAGGGGTGGCCAGTAGAAGTCTGGCTGGCCAGTAGTCTGGCTGGCCAATACAAGTCTATTTCTGTTACAAATGATGAACACTTTCAGGGACACCTGGATATCAACCTGAGTTCATCAAGGTTTGGGCCATATATTCATGTAGAGGAGAGCGTCACCATAGAAATAGAATCTACAGTCTGAGCTTGACTAATCGCAGCTGGCTGAGATTGACCCCTAACTGTGTTTAATGAGAAGACATTCCAACATTGCCTCTAGCAACCATTATCATCGTTACCAGTGTAAAGACCTTCACAATTCCCTTCTCTCACACCATCGTGCAATCCCAAACCATACTGGGCTGGCTCTGATCCTTTTCACGTCGTCTTTTCTAGCACAGATCCACCAACTATGATGGATGCATAAGCAGGCCATCCCAGTACAGCTTTGCTTGACTTGGTTTGGCCCTGTAGTGTGAATCAGGCATAAGTGTGCTGTACCTTTTCCTTCATCTTCTCAATCTTCTTGACGGAGCTGCGTCTCTGGTGCTTGTCTTCCAGGCGGATGCTAAAGACGGGCTCGGCCCGGCCAATCTGCTTCTCCTCCTGCTTCTCCGCCTCTTTCAGCTTGCTCTCTGCACTAATGCTCTCCGTGTGGTACATGTGGTAGGTCTTCATCACCTGGGGGTTGGAGGAAAAGGTTAGAGTCATTCAACCTCACAGTAAGAGTCAGAGGCTGCTTTGAACCAAACAAAGCTTTCATCTACTACCCACCCACTCTTCACAGATCGATTCCAGCTCTACTTCACAATAGGACTCTCCTACGCCACCACAAATCAAAGGCAGATTCCCTCTCTTTTTATATGACGCTCTTATACAGTACGACCTCAACAACCACGATTCACTGCTGTTCCCATTTACCATATTGCTCTGTGTTTGAAATTCCAGCTACAGTGAACTACATCTACACCTAGCAGTTTGCTGGAATTACAACCACCAATTTATACGGAATGACAATTCCATCTGTCGTGTAAGAAATGCTATAGCTCTGTAATGGGGCACCGAGGGACTTCAATCCACCCACAGACACCCAATCATCCCTGGCTGCTGTAGCCCAAAGCAGAGTGCCGTCAGCGGGGTGCCAGCAGGCAGGCAGGCAGGGCCCACATCAGATCAGATGGTGACAGACGTACAGACTAAACCACTTAACACAACCCTGTTCTCTCCCCTTTGAAGTGGAAAGAAATGAACCCTCAGAATTAACGTATAATTCCTGAGGCCAGGAGTTTCAAAAGACACCAACTTGTAAATATGGCTTGGCATGATGTGATAAGCAGACCTGGGTTCAAATACTATAGCTGTGCTTGATTGAGCATGCCAAGCGAACCAATAGAACAGTCTGTAAAGTGCAAGCCCCGCCCACCTGGCACTCCAGGCAGGCTAAAACAAAAGCTCAAAGTATTTGAAAGATTTCAAATAGTATTTACTCAGATCTATACACTACATTTTAAGTGGGTATGCTCCCTATGTCAATACATCAGAACCATAATTGAGGAGCAGTGATGTAGGCATAGTGGGAAGCATTACCTCCACAGCAACACGCCGATTAAAGCTACTTCCTTTGGTTTGACTCATTGTTATCCAAACAGGAGGGAGCTATTACTATTACTCACACTCAAATGACTGTTGAAAACATTAGGAAGTGACTCATGAGTAGCCAGGTACAACTGCTGCTCAAGTAAACCACGATTTCTTCAAGGGCCATTACATTTACATTTTAGTCATTTAGCAGACGCTCTTATCCAGAGCGACTTACAGTTAGTGAGTGCATACATTTTCATACTGCCATGACATGAGTTCAAGAGACTATTTATAACACATCATTATGGCTCTCTGATTGGAATGGAAGGCTGACATAGAAATGAAGGCAGGGACTCCATGTAACTGACGATCACCACCAACGGGAATCACGACCAGGGCTCTAAAGTGCGCCCAAATATTTTGCTGTGCTACCAACAGTTGTATTTTGGGAGCAATGTGCGACAGATTTTTTTTTAAACATCGCCCAGATAATAATTGTTGTAATGATAAGGTTTCGCTGCACCGTTGTTTCCGAGTGCCCTAGAAAAACAAGCAAGTGAAGATTTGTTGGCGTCATGGTTGCACCATTATTACTACAGCGAAAAAAGCTTGCTTCTAGCCCAACACGTCAAAAGATCTGACCCATATTACCGGCGCAACATTTCTATCTTCCTATAGCGAATCGCCAGGACTGCATTTTACATTCGTAAACCATGCCGTGGGCCGTTCTAAAACTACTCGCGCGTCGACGTCGTTAAACGTTTGTTTACACTTTGTTCAGTCATGTTACCTCATTGGCTACCTAGCTAACAACCTGGTAACTTTGCCAGTATATCCAAACATTTGGGTGCACAGAACGGAAAAGGGATAGCTTCTTCAGCAGATCAATGACCATAGCAATGAATTAATGACAGATCTCTTGCATGTCAAATCAAATCAAATTGTATTTGTCACATACACGTGTTTAGCAGATGTTATAGCGCGTGTAGCGAAATGCTTGTGCTTCTAGCTCCAACAGTGCAGTAATATCTAACAATTACACAACATATACCCAATACACACAAAAAAGTAAGGAATGGGATTTAAGAATATATACATATATGGACAAGCAATGACAGAGCGGCATGGACTAAGATACAGAAGTATATTATAGAATAGAATGCAGTATATACATATGAGATGAGTAGTGCAAGATATGTAAACATTATTAAAGTGACTAGTGTTCCATTTTTTAAAGTGGCCAGTGATTTCAATAGGCAGCAGCAGCCTCTAATGTGCTAGTGATGGCTATTTAACAGTCTGATGGCCTTGAGATGGAAGCTGTTTTTCATTCTCTCGGTCCCAGCTTTGATGTACCTGTACTGACCTCGCCTTCTGGATGATAGCGGGGTGAACAGGCAGTGGCTCGGGTGGTTGATGTCCTTTTTGGCTTTTCTGGTGCTCCTAAATTTCATGTGGTGCTACCAATGGATTATATATATTAAATTGTGCCCTGGTCATGACTGACTGACGCACTCGAGTAAAATGTTTGTAAACATTGCTTTCCTCCGGTCTCGATCAGCTAGCTTTTTAAACCACCCAAAAGCGATAAGATCTCTGAACTTTGACAAACACACTTCTCTCTTTCAGGATCTTTAGAGGTCATGGACAGTGTGGACAGCAGGATGGGTGGGGGTAGTACTGCCAGAAGGCTGCTGGGGAGAGGACCTTAGCCTGGCTGTCACTGTGGCCAGCTGGGTCTGAGAGAACCAGCACCCTTTCCCCTGCTGTGGCAGGCCAGCCCTAGCCTGAGTCCCAGATTTGTTTGTGCCGTCTTGCCAACAGACAATGATAGCAATGGAGTTGTCAAGATCGCGCAAACAGAACTGGAACTCAGGCTAGGCCAGTTCTAGCCCTTATCGTGCCATCCCCTGCCAAGGGCTGTCCTTAAACCCATTACTGACCCAAGACCAGCCACTGAAGAAAAAAAAGTGATCACGCGGCATAACCCAGAGTAAATTACAGTCGCACCGGCCGTATACATTATAACCTCAATCGGAATTAAAATACAGACTGTGTCTAAAACCTAAACATCTCCTCTCCACCCCCCCAAAAAATGAGATATTTTGGTAACGGGTGGAACAATAACAGACTTCGCCCTGTTTGTTTTGTGCTGGTGGCCAGAGCCACGTAATTGGGACCAGTGGAGAGAGCCAGAAAGGGGCGACCAACCGCAGCCATAGTCCTCACTTACTGGTCTGGATCACCACTGGTGTGTTTACTTTGACTCTCCCCTGCTTCTATTAGAGGGCCAGATTTAGAACGACTGGGACCAGACCTGTTATTTCACAGGCCCTGACCACACAGGCCCCTGTGGCAGTGTGATGCAATCGCCTACTGAGTGTGTGTGTTTTTCTGCAGGGTAAATCAGGTCAAATTGGGCTGCAGTGAGAGTAACACACTTTGAGCTGTGGCCGTTACACGTGTCATGGATGATTGTAAGTATAACACGATGTAATCTTCATTCGTAACCAAAGACTTACTCTACAGGGAAGTTGAACCCCTGCTGCACGTCTCCTGGGACAACAGAGTAACTGTTCCCCCATCTGTTCCTTGGGTTTTACCATAACAATCAATGCTGTAATCATAACATGATATCTGTTTTGGGGTTACGCATCAGAAACGATTATCAGAATTGTCACCGAGCACTTAACAACCACCAGTGCAGAGTGATTAAGTGAATTTGACGTTATTGACCTAACGTGGAGGGCTGTGGTTGGCTGGTTGAGAATGAGCCACACAAAAAAAATACTTTAATCAATTTTAGAATAAGGCTGCAACATAACAAAATGTGGAAAAAGGGAAGGGCTCTGAATACTTTCTGAATGGACTGTATTTCCTTTAGGGAACGCCTAATCTGTGAAGTGCGCTTGTGCAATAACTCAATTCGCCCTTGCACTCCTTCTAAACAATGCAGTTTTTAGAAACTAGAAAGGGTCAAGTCAACAAAACTTAGTCCACTCTGTTCATAACGGATTCTAGTTTTGGGAACAGAAAACTGTATTGAGATCGGATGTTTAATAAATAAGAAAATTAGCAGAATGTCGGCCATGTTTCATCTAGCGCCATCTTCTCCCACTTCCCGCCAATGGACATAATTGGTTGTGAGAAGATGTTCTAAACGGATGCTTCAGATTTATACATCCTTTGAGAGATCTGGCTCCTTGCTCTAACTGTGGTGATATAGTAAATCAGGAAACAGTCAATTAAATGACACATTCGAACTTACAGTGTAGAGCTCATTGAGGACCTTCATCAAGTCTTCCTGAAGCTGAAACGTTATCTCCTTACTCTGAAAGAGAAAGAAAGAACGTGTTCAATGCGCGACATCTATCGACTTTGCAGTACAGTCACATATTCATACATTGTCACACTTGTCACATGGAACAAACAAGCATACAGAGTTGGGAATAGAGTAGGGCACTGAGACCTGTAATGAGGTCATCAAAAAGAGACAGTTGCCCATAGAGCCATCTGTCTGCATGGCGTGAGAGAGATCTCAAATGAATAAATTAAATCTGCCATTCCATGCCACAATATTCACTCAATGCCATCAGATATGAGCCCACAATTAATATTTCTGAGATTCTCCCTACAGGGAAATAACAGTTATGTGATTGATGCAGGGTTAAAGCAGGGGTCTGAAACTGGCAGCCTGCGGACCAGATGCAGAATAGACACCGGCTGGAATGCGGTTTTAACCAATCAGCATTCAGGATTAGACCCACCCGTTGTATAAAATGTGACAATGCACATGGATATCCCATTCAATTTATGTATTACCTGGGCATTAGCATGTAGTCTTCCACTGCACTCAGAGTCTCACACTAACCCTATTATCTGGGCCCGAAATGATTGTGGCGGCCTTTTCCAGTAATGGGCCCTCAGATGGCTGTGAAAATATGATCTATCCCACCACAACTGTGGTTTCCTGTATGGGCGTGACGCCGTAACCGATGAGGAAGAGTCTCTGCTGAGGTCACCAACCTCACTGATCCAGGAGGATCTGCACACATCCTAGTTGCCACAAACACCCATGTTAGAGTGAACCACTGCAGACAGTCAACAACACTCCAATGGAACATCATGGGTTGGAGTCGGGAATCTCTAGCCTAGCCGACATATCTGAATAATATGCTTTAGCCAAAACCTATAATGCTCTTGTCGTCATGCCATAAATGTTTGGCATGACAACAAACACAGTATACCAGGGGAGTTGGCTAAAGCACCAACAGATCTGCAACAAAGCCATGGTTAGGGTGAAACTCTTAGGAGAAACTCAGAGCATCTATGAATGTTTGAAGGAGGAAGTCAGGGCTCAAACAAACACAAGTCCATCCCAAAGAGAGCTCTACTCTACTGTAAGTCCTGCTGACTGACTCAGGTGGAAGAGGTGGTGTCCAGTCCAGACGTGGACGTAAACCATAGAGGACTAGCCCCCGTTGTGTGTGTGTTTGTGCATGTGTGCGTAATTAAGTAATCAGCCACACATGCACCCAGTCCAGCCCACACCTGTCCTGGCACTGGCCTACACCTACTCAGCCAGTTCTCTCTTTTACTTACCTATTACCACACAGACAGGCACCGGACAAACAGACTTTGCCCTGTATAAATAGAGCTAAGTCACCTAAGCTTAAGCTAGGGTGCTCTCACACACATTTAGAGAATGAAGGACAGGATCTATAGGCTGGTTGGGGCACGGAGGTTTGGGCCAGGTAAGTTATGGACTGGTGAGATCATTCCTCATGCCCAAATATGTGAAGCAGGCTGCAAAAAAATTAATATATGAACAAGCCTGTTGTTCATCATCGTCCGAGAATTGCGCTTTAATGTTGCACTGTCAATAACTGTATTCATGAACATTACCAGCAAAATGAGGCCTTTACTGAAATCACTCGCCCTCCTTCCCCTGGGAAGTGCCATTAGCAGCCCTCCGTTCAGAGAAGAGGACCTAAGACAATGTCAGATCTAACGCTTGTCAGCTCTTTCCTATTGAGAGGACTGGGAAGCAGTCCAGTGGTCAATGAAAAGGCCCCTCAGGAAAGCTTGGGCACGGCTCCGACAGCTCATCCACTTCCTGGCTTTGCAGATGCCCCTGTCAGTTGACCTGAGCAGGGCCTTCGACAGGAAGTCACCTCAGCCACTCCACTGGCCACTGAAGACACAGTAAATCAGAGACTGAGAGCCTCTGAAGTACAAACCATACACTTCATAATGATTAGTTATAACAGTAAGAAAGGAGCCTTGATAACTTTTCTCGGCCTGTACGTTTTGCGGCCTATGGGCCAGCCAATGTTGTGATTAAATTTAACGGTCTTGCCCTCTATTATTTAAAGGGGAATGTCAACTTGGGTTTTTCCCAATACGGATAATTTATTAAAGGACTAAACAAATGGGGGATGATGGGTTTCACGTTGCCTCCAACATTAATTAGACCCCAGAGAGGGGCTGTATATACCCCTGGAGTCAATGTCTGGTGGCTGCTCCATATGGCAGAAGAAACACACTGGGACTCTAGTGAGAGGCTACACAAATCATATTGGCTCATATACTATACAGAAGCAGCCCATGGAGGTAGTCTAGTAATGGACCAAGCCAGGCAGTAAATTGTCGAGCTCTAATCCTAATGAAGTGTTAAAACACTTTACACTGCCCTTGATCAAATGCCAAGACCAATTATTATTATTATTATAATTTAGTGGTAGCTGATGCAGTTTTGTGTTTCCCTCACCCTGTGTCCCTACCACTGTTGTGAATGAATGGAGGAGTGTGCAATGGAGGAACTAGACAAACTAATACCTTCCTTTCTCCTTCCTCCATGCAGATGATGCTTTCAAGCCTTGGGAGAAATTCACCTTGCACTTTTACCAGAATGGGACTTCCATAAATAAAAGAGGACTGACTAAGTAAAACAAAAAGAGAGTTGTATGAATAATGAAAAGAGAATACATGTGATAAGACCTGCCCGACCATGAACGGACTGCGTGACAAAACTTGCATTTAGAGGCTTCTCCTTCGAACAAAGACAAATCGAGGTAAGCTGTGACTTTCTTGTCCATAGTACTATTCATAAATAAACAAGGCATGAACACAAGCCAACGGTCTACTCTAAAAAGGTCCACCATGCAGAAGCCTGTTAGGATAAGTCATTTAAGGTCCTATACTGCTTAACCTCATAACATAAAAAGGTAGAAAACATCAGAATTAGAAAATATAAAAACACTAGTCTTTGATGCCAGGATGACAAAACAGCAGCCGTGTTGTGTTAAAAGAAGAGGAGCTGTAGTAACTGTGTTGTAACTGGGGGGCCTCCCCCGGTGTTTGTCACTCGTTACTGGAGAGATCAAAGACACTGGGACTTACTAATTAAAGGGCAGGGGTGTCTCTGCTCCCCTGTGACAGACTGCCTGTTTGGTTTGGCCCCTGGCTGCCAAACATCACTATACGAGCCAGAGGGGAGACACAAACACACATGCACACAGTCACAAACACTGAAGACCTAACTGTATCTGATGACTGCAGGTCATTGCCTGTTGTGTTCAAGCAGTCGTTGCCTGTTATGTTCAAGGCCAACCAACAACTATAATTGGTGGAGCAATAAGGAGGGGTAATAATTTGTTCCCCTCATGCACTGTGTGTAATGTCTGAATGCAAACCTCTTCTTATGAGGGATGCTATGAACTAAACTTCATACATTATATTTTCACTCTTATCAATGCTTCTCAGGTACCAACTAACAGAATGAAGTAGAGTATAGTCTTGATTTAAATACCCCAAATTGTATAGATACAGTATAATTGCTTCAATTGCACTGCAGGAGGGGAACACATTGATGAGTTTAGTGGTCTATCATTTTAAACATCAGTAATGTGGGTTGAGTCGGGGGAAGAAAGAAACATCTGACAAACCACAGTTTGTGTGTGTGTGTAGACCAGTCCTCTATACAAGACAGATTAAACCACAGACGATAATGACTTCTAACATGAATAAAATACCCCTCTGTTTTAGTCTTGATCTAGCAAACAGATCTAAAGACCCATCTGGTTTAGTCTTGATCTAGCAGACAGATCTAAAGACCCCGCAGCGAAAGAGAAAACATACTAAACATTTGATGCAAAGCACCCCATTGAAACAGGCCCTGGTTTGTCATTTTCGGGGTTGTGGTCGGTTCATGTGACTCCTGGTGCATAGGAGAGCTCATAATCTGGTAGGGAGTTGTCCTCTTTGTGGCCGGAGAGAAACAGGTGGCAGCAGCAGTAGTAGCAGGGTTTCTGTCATGAGGCCACACTTCAGATGGGAAGGTTAGGTAGGGCGTTTAGGCTGATGATCAGGGTTGTGTGGGAAGAGGAGGGTCCTCGCTCTGTACACAACCCAGCAACTGAGCTGCCATCAAGATGTCATCAAACAGAACTTAAAATGTAATAGTCTACTGCTACACCCAGCCATACATCAAATCTCTGAGTGCAGTCCAGTGTATCTTTTTTTATTTTATTTATTTATTTCACCTTTATTTAACCAGGTAAACCAGTTGAGAACAAGTTCTCATTTACAACTGCGACCTGGCCAAGATAAAGCAAAGCAGTGCGATAAAAACAACAACACAGAGTTACATATGGGGTAAAACAAAACAAAGTCAAAAATACAACAGAAATATATATATATACAGTGTGTGCAAATGTAGCAAGTTATGGAGGTAAGGCAATAAATAGGCTATAGTGCAAAATAATTACAATTAGTATTAACACTGGAATGATAGATGTGCAAGAGATGATGTGCAAATAGAGATACTGGGGTACAAATGAGCAAAATAAATAACAATATAGGGATGAGGTAGTTGGGCGGGCTAATTTCAGATGGGCTGTGTACAGGTGCAGTGATCGGTAAGGTGCTCTGACAACTGATGCTTAAAGTTAGTGAGAGAGATAAGTGTCTCCAGCTTCAGAGATTTTTGCAATTTGTTCCAGTCATTGGCAGCAGAGAACTGGAAGGAATGGCGGCCAAAGGAGGTGTTGGCTTTGGGGATGACCAGTGAGATATACCTGCTGGAGCGCAGACTACGGGTGGGTGTTGCTATGGTGACCAATGAGCTAAGATAAGGCTGGGATTTGCCTAGCAGTGATTTATAGATGGCCTGGAGCCAGTGGGTTTGGCAACGAATATGTAGTGAGGACCAGCCAACAAGAGCGTACAGGTCACAGTGGTGGGTAGTATATGGGGCTTTGGAGACAAAACGGATGGCACTGTGATAGACTACATCCAATTTGCTGAGTAGAGTGTTGGAGGCTATTTTGTAAATGACATCGCCGAAGTCAAGGATCGGTAGGATAGTCAGTTTTACGAGGGCATGTTTGGCAGCATGAGTGAAGGAGGCTTTGTTGCGAAATAGGAAACCGATTCTAAGGCTGAAGATTGATAAATGTATCATTAGCAGCAGGGTCCAGTTTTGTCCGGACTATGTGAATGAGCCCAGGATTTATCCAATATAACAAGGGTTCTCTCTGATCAATTCAAGACAAGTGGTAAGGAACGACTCCTGGCCCTAATCAGTTGCACTTCCTTCCATCAGATCACTGGGACCTCACCTCGTCTGACCTCTAACCTCTGACCTCATCTAGCCAGGTCAAATGTCAGAGTACAAACTACATTACAGATCTCACCTTCTTGAGCAGGCGTGTGGAGTCCTCGCTGATCTGCATGAAGCGCATGATGACGTTGTTCAGGTAGATGTCACTGAGGGTGGCGTGGTCCTTGCTCTCCCTCCTCACCTGGTTCAGCAGCAGGTACCAGCAGTTGACCGGGGACAGCAGGTTCTGGTCCTTCCTAAAAAGGATTTCATAAGAGAAGCTCTATCAATCAACTGGGTCGTATTAATTACGTACCAAACGGAAGAAAACCGACCGAAACAGCGAGGGACTACCTGAGCTTGTCCAATAAGAAATGCTAATTTCCGTTTCTCATTGCAAAACGTTTTGCTGCAGTGTACTCTAATGAACATGACCCTCTTTACCGAAAGATCTTCACTTGACTCATGTTCATTCATACAAAACAGAACAGTGACTGTGCACAACTCTTCATTATCCTACACTGATCACTGCATTGACAAACGAGACCGACACAAGTGGAGACAGGGACATGTAGGGATGTGTTCAGGCTCCCTAAGACACAGAGGTGTGTGTGCGTGTGCGTGTGTCTGTGTTTCCCACTTTCCTTGGCTCTCTGAAGGCTGACTTTGCCATCTGATTTGATTATTAGGATCCCCATTAGCCGACACAAATGGCGACAGCTAGTCTTACTGTGGTCCGACACATAACGAAAAAGACATTAGACAAAATACTTTACAATTTACATACTTTTAACAACATTAACATGTAATGTGTGTGTGCATCTGTCAGTTACACATACATGTCAGTACATACACACAACAAGTAGGTCATATGGGGGAGGCGTTGTGCCGTGAGGTGTTGCTTTATTTGTTTTTTGAAACAAGGTTTGCTGTTCACTTGCGCTATTTAAGATGGAAGGGAGTTCCATGCACGCATGGCTCTGTATAATACTGTATGTTTCATTGACATTTTTCTGGACCTGGGGACTGCCAAAATACCCCTGGTGGTATGTCTGGTGGGGTAAGTGTGTGTGTAACTTGACTATGCAAACAAATTTGGAATTAATGTTTCTTATAAAAACAAGAAGTGATGCAGTCAGTCTTTCCTCAACTCATAGCCAAGAGAGAATGGCATGCATAGTATTAATATTAGCCCTTCATTACAATGAAGAGCAAGGCGTGTGGCTCTGTTCTGGGCCAGCTGCAGCTTAACTAGGTCTTTCTTTGCTGCACTTGATCATATGGCTGGACAATAATCAAGATAAGATAAAACTAGAGCCTGCAGGACTTGCTTTGTGGAGAGTGGTGTCAAAAAAGCAGAGCATCTCTTTATTACGGACAGACCCCTCATGACAGTTTACAATCTAAGGTAACACCAAGTAACTTAGTCTCCTCAACTTGTTCAACAGCCACACCATTCATTACCAGAGGTCTAGAACTTACAATGCTCTTAGATTTAGAGATGTTCAGGACCAGTTTATTACTGGCCACCCATTCCAAAACAGACTGCAACTATTTGTTAAGGGTTTCAGTGACTTCAATAGCTGTGGTTGCTGATGCATATATGGTTGAATCATCAGCATACATGGACACACATACTTTGTTTAATGCCAGTGGCAGGTCATTGGTAAAAATAGAAAAGAGTAGAGGACCTAGAGAGCTGCCCTGCGGTACACCACACTTTACATGTTTGACATTAGAGAAGCTTCCATTAAAGAAAACCCTTTGAGTTCTATTAGATGGATAGCTCTGAATCCACAATATGGCAGAGGTTGAAAAGCCATTACATACGTTTTCTCAACAACAGGTTATGGTCATTAATATCAAAGGCTGCACTGAAATCTAACAGTACAGCTCCCACAATCTTCTTATAATCAATTTCTTTCAACCAATCATGAGTAATTTGTGTCAGTGCAGTACATGTTGAGTGCCCGTCTGTAAAAGCATGTTGAAAGTCTGTTAATTTGTTTACAGAGAAATAGCATTGAATTTGGTCAACAACAAAATAATCTAACAGTTTACTAAGAGCTGGCAGCAAGCAGAATGAAATTGCCTTCCCTCCAGGCCTGAGGACAAAGACTTTCCTCTAGGCTCAGATTAAATAAATAACAGATGGGGGTGGCTATAGACTCAGCTACCATCCTCAGTAGCTTTCCATCTACGTTGTCAATGCCAGAGGTTCGTCATTATTGATCGATAACAATTTTTCCACCTCTCCCACACCAACTTTACAAAATTATAACTTACAATGCTTTTCTTTCATTATTAGTTTTTTTATGCAAGAGTACGCTGGCTCACTATTTGTTGTTGGCATTTCCTGCCTAAGTTTGCCCACTTTGCCAATTAAGTAATTATTAAAATAATTTGCAACATAAAATGATTTTGTGATGAATAAGTCATCTGATTCGATGAAAGATGGAGTTGAATGTCTTTCTGCCCATAATTTAATTTAAAGTACTCCAAAGGTTTTTTCCATCATTCTTTCTATCATTGATCTTGGCTTCAAAATACAGTTTCTTCTTCTTTTTGTTGAGTTTAGTCACATCATTTCTAAATTTGCAGTAACTCAGCCAGTAACTTAGACACTCCTTTTGCCCAATCTCTTTCAACCATACAGTTTTTCAATTCCTCATCAATCCATGGAGCCTTAACAGTTCTAACAGTCAGTTTCTTAACAGGTGCATGTTTATCAATAATTGGAAAAAGCAATTTCATAAATTCATCAAGTGCAGTGTCTGGATGCTCCTTATTAATCACATCAAAACAACAAATCTAAAAAAATTTTTTTTACATCATCCACATAAGAGTCACAGCAAAATCTTTTGTATGATCTCTTATACACTATTTTAGGCCCAGCTTTTGGAACTTTGACTTTCCTGGGTATAGCCACTATATTCTGCTCAATGCATCCAATGGGTACGGATACAGCTTTAGTACAGTATTAGTAAAAATGTGATCAATACAAGTGGATGATCTTGTTCCTGTAGTGTTTGTAAACACCCCGGTAGGTTGTTTGTAACTTATTTTGTACATAATGTTGCTGCTACCGTCTCTTATGACCGAAAAGAGCTTCTGGACTTCAGAACAGTGATTACTCACCTTGAACTGGACAAATAATTTTTCTTTAATGAGTCGGACGAGAGGGATTTGCTCCAGACACCAGACAGGGTCCTCATCCCCGTCATTCACAGTAGAAAGAAAATAAGATATCGCGGAAGGAGATCGGGGTGCCTGGTAAGGAGCTGGCGACGAGTGGCTAATCTGCCTTTGCCATCGATACTATTGGCCAATTTACAATCGTTTGATAATAAAGTGGATGAACTATAAGCACGCATATCCTACCAACGGGACATTAAAAACTGTAATATCTTATGTTTCACCGAGTCGTGGCTGAACGATGACATGAATAACACACAGCTGCCAGATTATACACTGTATCGGCAGGATAGAACAGCAGCCTCTGGTAAGACAAGAGGTGGCGGTCTATATATACAGTGGGGAGAACAAGTATTTGATACACTGACGATTTTTCAGGTTTTCCTACTTACAAAGCATGTAGAGGTCTGTAATTTGTATCATAGGTACACATCAACTGTGAGAGACGGAATCTAAAACAAAAATCCAGAAAATTACATTGTATGATTTTTAAGTAATTTATTTGCATTTTATTGCATGACATAAGTATTTGATACATCAGAAAAGCTGAATTTAATATTTGGTACAGAAACCTTTGTTTGCTATTACAGAGATCATACGTTTCCTGTAGGTCTTGACCAGGTTTGCACACACTGCAGCAGGGATTTTGGCCCACTCCTCCATACAGACCTTCTCCAGATCCTTCAGGTTTCGGGGCTGTCGCTGGGCAATACGGACTTTCAGCTCCCTCCAAAGATTTTCTATTGGGTTCAGGTCTGGAGACTGGCTAGGCCACTCCAGGACCTTGAGATGCTTCTTACGGAGCCACTCCTTAGTTGCCCTGGCTGTGTGTTTCGGGTCGTTGTCATGCTGGAAGACCCAGCCACGACCCATCTTCAATGCTCTTACTGAGGGAAGGAGGTTGTTGGCCAAGATCTCGCGATACATGGCCCCATCCATCCTCCCCTCAATACGGTGCAGTCGTCCTGTCCCCTTTGCAGAAAAGCATCCCCAAAGAATGACGTTTCCACCTCTATGCTTCACGGTTGGGATGGTGTTCTTGGGGTTGTACTCATCCTTCTTCTTCCTCCAAACACGGCGAGTGGAGTTTAGACCAAAAAGCTCTATTTTTGTCTCATCAGACCACATGACCTTCTCCCATTCCTCCTCTGGATCATCCAGATGGTCATTGGCAAACTTCAGACGGGCCTGGACATGCACTGGCTTGAGCAGGGGGACCTTGCGTGCGCTGCAGGATTTTAATCCATGATGGCGTAGTGTGTTACTAATGGTTTTCTTTGAGACTGTGGTCCCAGCTCTCTTCAGGTCATTGACCAGGTCCTGCCGTGTAGGTCTGGGCTGATCCCTCACCTTCCTCATGATCATTGATGCACCACGAGGTGAGATCTTGCATGGAGCCCCAGACCGAGGGTGATTGACCGTCATCTTGAACTTCTTCCATTTTCTAATAATTACGCCAACAGTTGTTGCCTTCTCACCAAGCTGCTTGCCTATTGTCCTGTAGCCCATCCCAGCCTTGTGCAAGTCTACAATTTGATCCCTGATGTCCTTACACAGCTCTCTGGTCTTGGCCATTGTGGAGAGGTTGGAGTCTGTTTGATTGAGTGTGTGGACAGGTGTCTTTTATACAGGTAACAAGTTCAAACAGGTGCAGTTAATACAGGTAATGAGTGGAGAACAGGAGGGCTTCTTAAAGATAAACTAACAGGTCTGTGAGAGCCGGACATCTTACTGGTTGGTAGGTGATCAAATACTTATGTCATGCAATAAAATGCAAATGAATTACTTAAAAATCATACAATGTGATTTTCTGGATTTTTGTTTTAGATTCCGTCTCTCACAGTTGAAGTGTACCTATGATAAAAATTACAGACCTCTACATGCTTCGTAAGTAGGAAAACCTGCAAAATTGGCAGTGTATGAAATACTTGTTCTCCCCACTGTATCTGTAAACAACAGCTGGTGCATGATATCTAAGGAAGTCTTGAGGTTTTGCTCACCTGAGGTAGAGCATCTCATCATAAGCTGTACACAACACTATCTACCAAGAGAGTTTTCATCTATATTCTTCGTAGCGGTCTATTTACCACCACAAACCGATGCTGGTACTAAGACCGCACTCAATGAACTGTATATGGCCATAAACAAACAGGAAAACACTCATCCAGAGGCGGCGCTCCTAGTGGCCGGGGACTTTAACACAGGGAAACTGAAATCCATTTTACCTCATTTCTACCAGCATGTAAAATGTGCAACCAGAGGGGGAAAAAAACTCTAGACCACCTTTACTCCACACACAGAGACGCATACAAAGCTCTCCCTCGCCCTCCATTTGGCAAATCTGAACATAATTCTATCCTCCTGATTCCTGCTTACAAGCAAAAACTAAAGCAGGAAGCACCAGTGACTCTGTCAATAAAAAAGTGGTCAGATGAAGCAGATGCTAAGCTACAGGACTGTTTTGCTAGCACAGACTGGAATATGTTCCGGGATTCTTCCGATGGCATTGAGGAGTACACCACATCAGTCATGGCTTCATCAATAAGTAAATCGATGACGTCGTCCCCACAGTGACTGTACATACATACCCCAACCGGAAGCCCTGGATTACAGGCAACATCCGCACTGAGCTAAAGGGTAGAGCTGCCGCTTTCAAGGAGCGGGACTCTAACTCGGAAGCTTATAAGAAATCCCACTATGCCCTTCGACGAACCATCAAACAGGCAAAGCGTCAATACAGGACTGAGATCGAATCGTACTACACTGGCTCCGACGCTTGTCGGATGTGGCAGGGCTTGCAAACTATTACAGACTACAAAAGGGAAGCACAGCCGCGAATTGCCCAGTGACACGAGCCTACCAGACGAGCTAAATTACTTCTATGCTCGCTTCAAGGCAAGTAACACTGAAACATGCATGAGAGCATCAGCTGTTCTGGACGACTGTGTGATCACGCTCTCTGTAGCCGATGTGAGTAAGACCTTTAAACAGGTCAACATTCACAAGGCCGCAGGTCCAGACGGATTACCAGGATGTGTACTCCGAGCATGTGCTGACCAACTGGCAAGTGTCTTCACTGACATTTTCAAACTCTCCCTGTCTGAGTCTATAATACCAACATGTTTCAAGCAGACCACCATAGTCCCTGTGCACAAGAACACTAAGGTAACCTGCCTAAATGACTACCGACCCGTAGCACTCACGTTGGTAGCCATGAAGTGCTTTGAAAGGCTGGTCATGTCTCACATCAACACCATTATCCCAGAAACCTATGCATAGACCTGAATAACTCTACCTACATGTACATATTACCTCAATTACCTTGACTAACCGGTGCCCCCGCACATTGGCTCGGTACCGGTACCCCGTTTATAGCCTCGCTATTGTTATTTTAATAATTAAATAATTAGTCATTTAGCAGACTAGGGTTAAGTGCCTTGCTCAAGGGCACCGACATATTTTTTACCTAGTCGGCTCTGGAATTAGAACCAGCGACCTTTCGGTTACTGGCACAACGCTCTTAACCACTAAGCTACTGCTGCTCTTTAATTATTTGTTACTTTTATTTCTTATAATACATATTTTTTTATTTAATGTTTTTTTGGTATTCTTTCTTAAAATCAGTTGGTGTGTGTAAGTGTGTGTGCTGCAGGATTGACGCTGCAAACCTATAGGCTTGGCTCTCTCATCCCTTCCAGGCTTTTGGGAGGGAGGGTCGACAATGAGGCTGTCAAAGCGGATGTAAGCAATGTCTCCACGCGGTCTGGCAGCTTTCATGGCTGGGATAAGTTATTTCCTCTTCTGGCCCACAGCTTTTGTCATTTAAAAGATTTTTCACCTGTGATAGAGACCCCACTGTCCTCAACGGTACTCCTGCCGGCTTTGGTCTTTGTCATGGTAGTAACGTAGGTTAGTCGTGAAGAGGGCACAACAACGCCTATTCCCCCTCAGGCGACTGAAAAGATTTGGCATAGGTCCTCAGATCCTCAAAAAGTTATACAGCTGCACCATCGAGAGCATTTGGACTGTTTGCATCACCGCTTGGTATGGCAACTGCTCGGCATCTGACCGCAATGCGCTACAGAGGTTAGTGCGTACAGCCCAGTACATCACTAGGGCAAAGCTTCCTGCCATCCAGGACCTCTATACTAGGCGGTGTCAGAGGAAGGCCCTAAAAATGGTCAAAGACTCCAGCCACCCTAGTCATAAACAGTTCTCTCTGCTACCGCATGGCAAGCGGTAGCGGAGCACCAAGTCTAGGTCCAAAAGGCTCCTTAACAGCTTCTACCCCCAAGCCATTAGACTGCTAAACAGTTAATCAAATGGCTACCCGGACAGCATTGACCACCTTTTTTACGCTGCTGCTACTCGCTGTTTATTATCTATGCATAGTCACTTCACCCCTACCTACATGTACATATTACCTTGACTAACCTGTACCCCCGCACATTGACTCGGTAACCCCTGTATATACCGTATACTCGTTATTGGTATTTTGTGTACCTTTTATTTTATTTTACTTTGTTCTGCTAATATTTGCTTACTTCAACAACAACAAAAACGGCATTGTTGGTTAAGGGCTTGTAAGTAAGCATTTCACGGTAAGGTCTACATCTGTTGTATTCAGGGCATGTGACAAATACAATTTGATTTGAAACAACAACAAAACAGCAGGGATCTAGACAGCCACAAGCCCGGGACAATCCGCGGTCCCAGCCACAATGGCTAACCTTGTCGCGTGCTGCGTTCAAGCCCTCAAGAAAACCCCACTAGCTTGATAGGCTGCTACGCCAAGCAGCTCCTCAGACCCAGCCTTGGTCGGCAGGATCACTGGACAGATAGTAGCGGTCCCAGCAACTGATGCCAACCGCATCGCGGTATCCAAACTCAAAAAGGTAGCTTGCTAGTAACTAAACTTTTTCAATAGACTTTCAAAACAACAAACTTTCCAAAACAACAAACCAAGCTCTCCCTCGTTCAACAGGAAGTGACGTGATGATCACACTATGTTGAAAAGCGAATGTGTGCTTGGAGATCAAGGTCTCAGTTCCCTGACAGCTCTGTCCTGTCTGCTCAACACTCACCTAGCGAGATGTTTCGACTTCTTAAAGTGGATCAGGCCCCATCACAAAAAGCATTAGCTAGTAGGGATGCTTCTTCCACAGCCCTCCCCAGGCGATGAGTGCCCTATATAATAACATGTACTATATAGCAGCACCGGGTGCACACTGCGCAGTGCACCTGTGGGGGAGTTGGGTTGGAGAGTGTGTATCAACGACATTTCTGGGGCATAGCTGGAGCGATGTTCTGAGCCGATCTGACTTCTCGCAACAGGGGAGAGAGCCCGCCACAAGCTTAAGTAAACTTAGGAGACTAGAGACTTCCTTGTTAGATAATTTGCTAGAGAAGTTACTTTACACGTAGTAAAGTTTTGGAATAGCACATTACAAGAGACGAGTCAGAAAGAGAAGGAAAGAGGAAAAGAAAGAGGGAAAGAGAGAGAAAGAGAGCGAGAGAGAAAGCGACAGCGAGTGAGACATGGGTGTGCTTAAGCAGCGGCATGCAGCAGGCTGAATTCCTCAGTTTAATCTAAAACATTCCTCCTGCTGTGGAGCAGAGCAGTTAGCCGAAGGGAGGAAGGAGGCCAGAAGAGAGGCCAGGTCCTGAGGCCTTAGGGCCAGCTGGCAGGAACCATATGGAAGCTCTCCTTTGGAACTCTGGAAGGGCTCCACCCCGAAGGTCAGTCAGCAAAGACAGGCAGTACACCCGCACTTGTCAACGCAACAGGTGAAACTCTGTACCCTCGCCCTGGCCCACGACCAATGCTGTATCCCTGAACTACATAACTCTTTGATGATAGCTGCTGGAAGCGGACAAAACATCCCGGACCACAGAGCTGAAACATTCCGTCTCGCTCGCTCTCTCAGAACTCTGGGACGTTTGGAAAACAGGAAATATAGTGCATGTGACAAAGGACAGGAAATGAAAAACATCCTGGTGACTGCCAAACGCAAGGCCATTTTTCATAAAAGGAATAATCAAATTTAGCTAAAAGCATAAGTGACGCATGGGGGCAACATGTACAGAGCATGGCATTGGCAGGGAAGTTACCAGGAAGAAACACACAGTTATGGCAATGGAAGACTTATGGCAGAGTTGCTGGACAGCATCAAACACACACTGTCAAGACTGCAGTTCCCGTAAATATTTTTATTCTTATGTTTCAGTGGAGTGCCATTCTTTCATTTATCTTCTGTTCCTGCCTGTGTGTGCGAGTGTGTGTTTGTTTAGCCTAGTATGTATGGGAGGGCGAGGGCTACCAGAAAGTGAGTGTTTGTGTGAAATGTGTGTGTGCATGTGCATCTACTGTGTGTGTGTGTGTGTGTGTGTGTGTGTGTGTGTGTGTGTGTGTGTGTACACACCTGAGTATGTGATTAGCCGGTCTCTACTGTAATGAGCTTGGTCATGGGACATCAGCTGTGACCGCGGGTTAGATAATTAGATCACTGGGCCTTTTAATATCCCGGTCCACTATTGGCTGGGCTCTGCTGAGAGAGGGGTGCACTACAGTGTGTCCATCCATCCGACCCACTCCACTCACTCTGGCTCACCTCAGTGTAGAGAACAGCATAGAGCGAGGCCCGGGCGCTGTGAATGGACTGACCCGATTCGCCAGAACACGCAGGCAAGTTCCTGAATACAGACAGTGCTTGCGTCCCAAATGGCACCCTATTCCCTATTTATAGCGCACTACTTTTGACCAGAGTCATATGGGCCCCTAGTTAACAATAGTGTACTATATAGGGATTGGGAATAGGGTGCAATTTGGGATGCAACCTGAAAAGAGAGGGCTGAAAGGATGAGTCACCACCGTAGCCTTCTTTCATCACACGCTTTGTTGCGCATAATGGCTGTAATGAAGAACGGACAGGAACTTACAATTACAGTCCCCGAAAAGTCAGAGTGAATGGAGGATAGGCTTTGGGAACAAACAGGGTCATTATTCCAAATGTGTAACTAGTGTAGATGGAAACACTACGGGGAGCCATTGAATGAACAGTAACTGTTGAAATAAATCAATGGCCTAATAGTGGGGTTGTGTGCTGGCTATTGAGACATACTGCTGGACCAAATGACAGGCCATTGAGGTAGGCGTGCGTGCATGCATGCATGTGGTCCTCTGTAGCTCAATTGGTAGAGCATGGCACTTGTAACACCAGGGTAGTGGGTTCGATCCCCGGGACCACCCATACGTGTAAAAAAAAAAAAAAATTGTATGCGCACATGACTGTAAGTCGCTTTGGATAAAAGCGTCTGCTAAATGGCATATTATAATTATATTATTATGTGCGAGCGTGCGTGTTTTAGGGCTGTCCCCGACTAAAAAAATCTTGGTCGACCGAGTCTCGTCCTGTTCTTTCGACCAATCGATTGGTCGAAATGTTTAAACTTATTTTTCCATGTATAGACAGACACACCGTATGTCTTTGAATAAAATCAACTACATATGCACTGAGCTTGTCTGATACTTTAAGCACACCGTTAGACTAAATAACGAAGACATACAAATGACAGCGAGTGCCTGTGTGACTGGTGCAGGTGGTCTCACTCTCCTCCCTACTGCAGCGAAAAGGCACCACAGCACAGCAAGTGTTTATTTCGCTGTCCGTGCTGAAGCTGCAACATCATTTCAGCCATTTAGTTTCTTACTTCTGACTGAAAAGTTCTGTTACCGAAATCCTAATTTGTTTTTGGAAAAAACATTTCCTATTCCCTCAACCCTTGCTCTCTTTACGTGAAACACCGCATGCATGTGACAAAAAGGGCCTGACCTATAGCCTATCATAATCACATCAATAAATTGGTTATAACAAACTTGTAACACGTGACAGCAAAATGGATGCAGAGGACGTGAATGTTTACTGGTTGCTCAGGAGGGAAAGGGGAAGTCAGATCTGTGGAAGACATTTGACTTAGTTGTGGAAACTACTGGAGATCAAGAAAAAGGAGGGTATAGGAGCAAGAAAAAGGAGGGTATAGGAGCAAGCATTGTATTGCAAGTGAGTATTATGTGTGCCAAAGAGTTGCCGTTAGATTACAATATAATTTTTTCTGACCATTTGGAAGTGTAAACAACACTAAATAAGTGTACCAGAGAGTCTGTTCTAACAACAAAAAAAGATATACAAAGCCTTTATTACAGCATACTAAAAACAGTTGCATGCATTCGTGAATTGCGGTTTATTATTGTTTAGGCTAATTATTCAAAGCTCAAAGCTTTGTTATTTAATTTTAAAACTAAAATGCTTAATTGCATTTCAAAGCATTAATGTCTCGTATGCTGTGTGATAGCATGAACGAATGAATGATTGATTGACTGATACAGTAGCCTATATATTGAAATATAGGCCTAAATAAGTTACGGTATTAAGACTAAACAGGATGCACTCTTAGGCCTACAGCTCGGTGGTGGTTATACAAGGCTACTATACAAAGCCTACTAATGATAACGACATGACTCATAATAACAATAAGGAGATTAAGAAAAAGGAGGGTATAGGAGCGAGCGCTGCGTGCATATTGTGTGTGACAAACAGGTGCGGTTAGATTACAATATTATTTTTCTGCCTGTTTAGAACGGTGTAAACACTAAATAAATTATAAGTAATACCAGTCTGTTCTAACGGGAAAAAATTGTAAAGCCTTTATTACAGCATAGCAAAGATTCTAAAACAGCCGAATCTGTGGAATTTCTTTATCCGACATTTTGGTGTTGTATGAGGCTTGGCGCTCACAGAATCAGTAGGCTATTAAACAAACACTCAAACAGGCAACAGAAGCAAGATCTGTCTTATTTCTGTAGATATACTGTACTGTATATGGATGATTTATAAAGACAGGCACATTTAACAGTTAGGCTATTGTAGGGCTGGGCGGTATACCGTATTTTATGATACACCGGTATTAAAACACTGTCATGCCGTCTATTTTTTTATTTAAATACCGTGATATGATATTTTGGCCATACGCCCAGCCCTAGGCTATTGATTATAGACCTAATTCAGGGGTTTCCTCTCAATTTTCTTAGACAATTAGGCTAAGGCAAGGGCTGTTTCCTCGTCTCTGCTGCTACTGCCTCTGCCGCATTGCTCTCAATCCCAATATGCTGGTTAACTTTGCCATTATGCACATAGCAACATAGGGAAAGGCGCTAATTCTACGGCGCACTGAAGATTGTTTCAGAACCGCGGACAGTGTCCGTATCCAACGAGGGAGAAAGCGCATGTTATAAAATAATTTTATATTTATCAGTGTTGCACCATTATTTTTACATAATATAACCATATACAATTTCAGTATCACGTCTTAGAGTGATGGACTGTGCCATCCCTGTGGACTCCACAATGGATTAGTCCACTCAGACAGGCGCAAATCAGACAGGTGTCTGCTCGACTAAAGAAATCTTGGTCGACCAACAGCCTATCGACCAAACAATCGACCATTTGACTAAATGGGATCAGCCCTAGTGTGCTTACGTGTGTGTGCTTACGTGTGTGTGTGGTGTAGGGAGGTGACGAGGGCCATGGCAGCACAGTGACCTCTGGGACTCTGCTAGCTAGCCTACATAATGACAGGAAACTCTCTCAACGTCATAATTTCCCCCCAATGCAGGAATTAGGTTAAACCATTGAGAGGACGACACAGGTAGAAACGAGGGAGAGTTAACTACCGTCCTTGGAGGAGATGAGCGAGAGAGAGAAAGAGGGAGAGAGCGAGCGAGAGGAATCTCATTAACAGTTTGTGTGTGTGCTTACGCGTGTGGGCGTGCGTAGGTGCATAATATAATAATAATATGCCATTTAGCAGACGCTTTTATCCAAAGCGACTTACAGTCATGTGCGCATACATGTTTTACGTATGGGTGGTCCCAGGGATGGAACCCACTACCCTGGCGTTACAAGCGCCATGCTCTACCAATTGAGCTACAGAGGACCACATGTGCATGGACTACATGTGCATGTGTGTGCAGGGGAAAGTAACTGTCCTGACTGCTCCAACGCCATTGAAAAGCCATTATAACCATATAAAACTATATGTCCCTTCATACAGCAGTGACATACTATGCAGTGTCTTTACACAGCAGCAGAGGCCTTATCTGAAATAGCAAAGCCCTTTACTTCCTCTACGATAATACTTTTTCATTAATAAGCCACCTCACTAGCTTTAATGGCAGTCTCTCTCTGGGTGGATTGCAAACTGTTATAGTTAGTAGTCTAATTATTTGCCTGGTGAGTGAGGCTATAATATCAGCTGCTACAGTAGACAATTGGTCCTCTGTGGCTTAGTTGGTCAAGCATGGCACTTCCAACACCAGTATTGTCGGTTTCATTCAGCCCAGATTCATGCTGGGGCCACCCATACGAAAAATGTATGCATGCATGATTGTAAGTCGTTTTGGATAAAAATGTCTGCTAAATGGTATATTATATTAGTGTATTACAATTGCAAGTGGCATTTACAAAGGTGGACAGCTACTATTTGAAATTGGGAGTATTTAGTGTATATCTGTATCATATCACCACAAATTAAAGGTAATTTAAATCCTATGAGACACAAAACGGGAAGTCTCTTTAACCGATTGGCTTTATTTGATGGGGGAAAGAAATCTGGTCTATTCAAGTTAATCTCTCTCTCATGTGTGGCTTTGGCTTTATAAATAATTCAATTATACCCATCCCCCTTCCATCCCTCTGACACTCCCTAAACAAACAGTACTGCATAGTGTGTGTGTGTGTGTTTAATGTGTTCATTCACTGACTGTCACTCCCTGGGACGGGGCTCTGGCCACTCCGCTGTGGGGCCCGTTGTTGCTCTCTCCCACTGCATTCTGGGAGGAAATGAGAGAAGTGGACAAAAGAGCTGCTGACCCAGCTGGAGCCTTATATGCTCAGGGTGGCTGTCTGCTCTGGAGGGGAGCAACGAGGAGAGAGTACTATCCACACAGGAAAACAGTCCGTTTGGATCCCAAAAGAGTGGAGCAAAAAGAGGAGGTGCTAGAGGATCGACAACACTGTCCCAATGGTTTTATTATTGCAATGATCAGGGTCGACTTCATTGTAGCAAAGACAACTCCCGCACACACAATATTACCTCTGCATGTTGTTCATGACATTTCTAATGACCAGGGTTGATCAACTATGCATATGATCAGATCTCATTAACTAATATATATTGTGTGTGTGTGTGTGTGTGTGTATATACAGTGCATCCGGAAAGTATTCAGACCCCTTGACCTTTTCCACTTTGTTACATTACAGCCTTATTCTAAAATTGATTATTGTTTTTTTCCCTCATCAAGCTACACACAATACCCCATAATGACAAAGCAAACAGGTTTTTAGAATTTTGTGCAAATTTATAAAAATTAACAACGGAAATATCACATTTACATAAGTATTCTGACTCTTTACTCAGTACTTTGTTGAAGCACCTTTGGCAGAGATTACAGCCTTGAGTCTTCTTGGGTATGACGCTACAAGCTTGGCACACCTGTATTTGGGGAGTTTCTCCCATTCGTCTCTGCAGATCCTCTCAAGCTCGGTCAGGCTGGATGTGGAGCGTCACTGCACAGCTATTTTCAGGTCTCTCCAGAGATGTTTGATCGGGTTCAAGTCTGGGCTTTGGCTGGGCCACTCAAGGACATTCAGAGACTTGTCCCAAAGCCATTCCTGTGTTGTCTTGGCTGTGTGCTTAGGGTCGTTGTCCTGTTGAAAGGTGAACCTGCACCATAGTCTGAGGTCCTGGAGCAGATTTTCATCAAGGATCTCCCTGTACTTTGCTCCGTACATTTTTGCCCTCGATCCTGACTAGTCTCCCAGTCCCTGCCGCTGAAAAACATCCCCACAGCAAGATGCTGCCACCACCATGCTTCACCGTAGGGATGGTATTGGCCAGGTGATGAGCGGTGCCTGGTTTCCTCCAGACGTGAAGCTTGGCGTTCAGGCCAAAAATAGTTCAATCTTGGTTTCATCAGACCAGATAATATTTTTCTCATGGTCGGAAAGTCCTTTAGGTGCCACACTACTATAAAGGCCTGATTGGTGGAGTGATGCAGAGATGGTTGTCCTTCTGGAAGGTTCTCCTATCTCCACAGAGGAACTCTGGAGCAAGAGTGACCATCAGGTTCTTGGTCACCACCCTGACCAAGGCCCTTCTCTCCCGGGCGGCCAGCTCTAGGAAGAGTCTTGGTGGTTCCAAACTTCTTCCATTTAAGAACGATGGAGGCCACTGTGTTCTTGGGGACCTTCAATGCTGCAGAACGTTTTTGGTACCCTTCCCCAGATCTGTGCCTCGACACAATCCTGTTTCTGAACTCTACGGACAATTCCTTCGACCTCATGACCCAGGTATTCCTTAAAGAGGTGGGGTTTCAAATGTCTCCGGAAGGTGGTGACACCTTAGCCAAATACATTTAAACTCAGTTTTTCACAATTCCTGACATTTCACATTCCCAATGGGTCTAAAGTTTACATACACTCAATTAGTATTTGGTATCATTGCCTTTAAATTGTTTAACTTGGGTCAAACGGTTCGGGTAGCCTTCCACAAGCTTCCCACAATAAGTTGGGTGAATTTTGGCCCATTCCTCCTGACAGAGCTGGTGTAACTGAGTCAGGTTTGTAGGCCTCCTTGCTCGCACACACTTATTCAGCTCTGCCCACACATTTCCTATAGGATTGAGGTCAGGGCATTGTGATGGCCACTCCAATACCTTGACTTTGTTGTCCTTAAGCCATTTTGCCACAAATTTGGAAGTATGCTTGGGGTCATTGTCCATTTGGAAAACCCATTTGCGATCAAGCTTTAACTTCCTGACTGATGTCTTGAGATGTTGCTTCAATATATCCACATAATTTTCCTTCCTCATGATGCCATCCATTTTGTGAAGTGTACCAGTCCATCCTGCAGCAAAGCACCCCCACAGCATGATGCTGCCACCCCTGTGCTTCATGGTTGGGATGGTGTTCTTCTTGCAAGCCCCCCCTTTTTCCACCAAACATAACGATGGTCATTATGGCCAAACAGTTCTATTTTTGTTTCATCAGACCAGAGGACATTTCTACAAAAAGTACGATCTTTGTCCCCATGTGCAGTTGCAAACCGTAGTCTGGTTTTCTTTAATGGCGGTTTTGGAGCAGTGGCTTCTTCCTTGCCTTTCAGGTTATGTCGATATAGGACTTGTTTTACTGTGGATATAGATACTGTTGTACCTGTTTCCTCCAGCATCTTCACAAGGTCCTTTGCTGTTGTTCTGGGATTGATTTGCACTTTTCGCACCAAAGTACGTTCATCTCTAGGAGAATGAACGCGTCTCCTTCCTGAGCGGTATGATGGCTGCGTGGTCCCATGGTGTTTATACTTGCGTACTATTGTTTGTACAGATGAATGTGGTACCTTCAGGCGTTTGGAAATTGCTCCCAAGGATGAACCAGACTTGTGGAGGTCTACAATTATTTTTCTGAGGTCTTGGCTGATTTATTTTGATTTTCCCATGATGTCAAGCAAAGAGGCACTGAGTTTGAAGGTAGAACTTGAAATACATCCACAGGTACACCTCCAATTGACTCAAATTATGTAAATTAGCCTATCAGAACCTTCTAAAGCCATGACATCATTTTCTGGAATTTTCCAAGCTTTTTAAAGGCACAGTCAATTTAGTGTATGTAAACTTCTGACCCACTGGAATTGTGATTCTGTTTACAGACAGTGAAATAATCTGTCTGTAAACAATTGTTGAAAAAATTACGTGTGTCATGCACAAAGTAGATGTCCTAACCGACTTGCCAAAACTATAGTTTGTTAACAAGAAATTTGTGGAGTGGTTGAAAAACGAGTTTTAATGACTCCAACCTAAGTGTATGCAAACTTCCGACTTCAACTATATACACACATACAGTCAAAGATTTTAGAACACCTACTCATTCAAATGTTTTCTTTATTTTTACTATTTTCTACATTGTAGAATAATAGTGAAGACATCAAAACTATTAACACATTTGGAATCATGTAGTAACCAAAAAAAGTGTTAAACAAATCAAAGTATATTTTATATTTGAGATTCTTCAAATAGCCACCCTTTGCCTTGATGACAGCTTTGCACACTCTTGGCATTCTCTCAACCAGCTTAACCTGGAATGCTTTTCCAACAGTCTTGAAGGAGTTCCCACATATGCTGAGCACTTGTTGGGTGCTTTTCCTTCAGTCTGCGGTCTGACTTATCCCAAACATCTCAATTTGGCTGAGGTCGTGGGATTGTGGAGGCCAGGTCATCTGATGCAGCACTCCGTCAATCTCCTTCTTGGTAAAATAGCCCTTACATAGCCTGGAGGTGTGTTGGGTCATTGTCCTGTTGAAAAAAAAATATATATAGTCCCACTAAGCCCAAACCAGATGGGATATCGCTGCAGAATGTTGTGGTAGCCATGCTGGTTAAGTGTGCCTTGAATTCTAAATAAATTAGACACTGTCACCAACAAAGCACCCCCACACCATAACACCTCCTCCTCCATGCTTTATGGTGGGAAATATACATGCGGAGATCATCCGTTCACCCACACTGCGTCTCACAAAGACACGACGGTTGGAACCAAAAATCTCCAATTTGGATTCCAGACCAAAGGACAAATTTCCACCGGTCTAATGTCCATCGCTCGTGTTTCTTGGCCCAAGCAAGTCTCTTCTTCTTATTGGTGTCCTTCAGTAGTGGTTTATTTGCAGCAATTTGACCATGAAGGCCTGATTCACACAGTCCTCTGAACAGTTGATGTTGAGATGTGTCTGTTACTTCAACTCTGTGAAGCATTTATTTGGGCTGCAATTTCTGAGGCTGGTAACTCGAATGAACTTATCCTCTGCAGCAGAGGTAACTCTGGATCTTCCACTCCTGTGGCGGTCCTCACGAGTGCCAGTTTCATCATAGCGCTTGATGGTTTTTGCGACTGCACTTGAAGAAACGTGCAAAGTTCTTAAAATGTTCCATATTGACTGACCTTCATGTCTTAAAGTAAGGATGGACTGTCGTTTCTCTTTGCTTATTTGAGCTGTTCTTGCCATAATATGAACTTGGTATTTTACCAAATAGGGCTATCTTCTGTATACCCCCCTACCTTGTCACAACACAACTAATTGGCTCAAACGCATTAAGGAGGAAAGAAATTCCACAAATTAACTTTTAAGAAGGCACACCTGTTAATTGAAATGCATTCCAGGTGATTACCTCATGATGCTGGTTGAGAGAATGCCAAGAGTGTGCAAAGCGGTCAGGGTGGCTATTTGAAGAATCTCAAATATAAAATATATTTTGATTTGTTTTACAATGTAGAAAATAGTAAAAAGAATTAAGAAAAACCCTTGAATGAGTAGGTGTCCAAACTTCTGACTGGTACTGTATATATCATAAGATATATAAACTATATTTGTCACAAGATATGACAACAATTTGACTGAACCAGCCCATAGCCATGTCAGCATCCATAATTAACCCAGCAGTGTTGTAGTTCTTGACACAAACCGGTGCGCCTGGCACCTACTACCATACCACGTTCAAAAGGCACTTAAATCTTTTGTCTTTCACATTCACCCTCTGAACGACACACATATACAATCCATGTCTCAATTGTCTCAAGGCTTAAAAATCCTTCTTTAACCTGTCTCCTCCCCTTCATCTACACTGATTGAAGTGGATTTAACAGGTGACATCAATAAGGGATCATAGCTTTCACCTGGATTCACCTGGTCAGTCTAGGTCATGGAAAGAGCAGGTGTTCCTAATGTTTATTACACTCAGTGCATGTCTGCTGCAGAGAGACGAGAGAGCATGAGAAAATTAGTTTTGATCAGTCATGAAAATAAAAGTGCTGAAAACATGTTTGCTCACTATTTAAAAAGGAAGATGGAGAACAAACTATAGGATGAAAAATGCTGGTGTTTTCGCACAGGTACAGCCGACTAGCGCTAGCTAACGCTATCTAGCAAAAAAAAAATAAAAAAAAATAAATACTTGGAGTCAAAATATCGATATAACACCGTCCAAAATAATATTGCAATATGTAACTATCTTTCCCCCCCATCACTACCGCCTACCGCTGCTGTGGAGCTGTACCCAGGCAAGATTGCTTCTGGACCAACTGAGGTGCTGTAGCAATAATCCCATAGGTAGCACAAATTGTGTACTTGCTTACAAACAGTCACTTCATCTCACTCCTGAAAGCGACCCGATAGAGAAGAAAACTACGGCTGACGAGACATTCCTTGTCCTGGAAACTGAAATGTACCACAGCTCCTCATGGAGGAAAACAGAGGCCAGATATCAAGGATAGTACAAAGCGTCCTACCTAAACAAAGAGTCTTACATTACCTGACAAAGACTTGACTTCTCCAACTTCTCAGGTGATTTTTATTATTTGACCAACAAAAACTAAATGAACATAACTTGGCTCCCTGTCAAATGTGGAAAAACTGCATTCAAAATCTGTGACAATGCTCAACTCAGTTAGCAGCACTCAGCAGCCCAACTGCACACAGCTTGTCAGTATTCACTGCTCTCCAGTGCGGAAATGCCAGCTAATTAGCCAATGATTTAAAGAGTGCATTTTAAAGCTAATCCATCTTATTACACACACACAGCCAGCCCAAGCTAGGCTGAGGCTCTGCACTAACATTAGGCCAGAAAGCTTAGAGTCAGATGAAGTGCACTTTCTCAATCCTCACACAAGTCGTTCCAAAGAAAACATCCTAGAGAATGTGGAGAATACATAAGCTCTTCTGTATTAACCTTGTTTATACAAATACAAAAAATAAATAGGCCACAGGGCATTCACTGCAGGGCATTCACTGTTAGTCAAACGTCTGGCGTTTACAGAGCACCGAAATATGCCGCTCGACAAATGTTTACCCTACGAATGAACAGACCAGACTCTATATCACGCGATGAAATCCACAGCTAGCGATCCATGCCATCGGATTCTCCTCAGTCTCCCAGTCCTGCACACACACACAGCTGGTAGAGCCATTGTGGTTTTCATTTGTGAAAGACTACATCAGACTGAGACCAACTCACTATAGACATGGTTAGGTTTTTCTCCACAAGAATGAATGTAGAAATAGGGGTCCTCTCACCATTCCATATATTCTGGATCTGGTCACCAATGGAGAGTGAGCAGTCATGAATCTGATATCCATTTTATTTATATACCCATTCTGGGAGGTATCGGTTCGTTCATTGGAGTTTCTCCACTTCCATAATTCACATTATGCTGGAAATACCATCTGCGCATTGACAGAGAGGGTGACAGTTTGTGAATTGTGAGGTAAGATGGGGGAAAGTATTTTAAATATAGGGCTACTCCTGCTAACCATCGGAAGTACCGATGAACAAAGGGACATTATGCAGAGGGGAAAAATAGAGGATATGGATATTTATTGCTGGAGCCCCTGGTGTAACAGCCTGCCTTCATAGGATATTGCCTTCCAATAATTAATGTTCATTTCTTCATATCGGAAACACATACATTTTAAAATGTATGAAAAAAATGAGAAATAAAACCCACCCGTCTAAATCGATTTCAGCCGTCTAATGGAGGAGAGGAAATTAGTAGAATGACATGACAATAAAAAGTCTTATGCAGTTTGATAATGATAAATAAATAGGAAAATGAATCATTGAGCGCTGCTGATATGTGTGTGTGTGTGACCAGACAGACTGTAAATAAAAAACACGTATTGAATCGCCGCGTCAACATTTTCAAATTTGAATGCATTTTCCAGATTGACAGTCATGAACATATAATCAAATATTACTTTGATTTTAGTTGCCTAATGCAACAGGTATTCATGAATACTGAACCTGAGAGAGGCATATTTCAGACTGAGACAGTGTTCCATGCAGTGACTTAACTTGTACAGAAGAAACACTGACAGAAAGGCTCAAACCTAGACCCAGGTACACAGACCCAAAGTCAGGCATAGAGATCGACACAGACCCAGGAACAGAGAAAAACACAGACAAGACCTAGATACACTTGTACTCACTTGTACTGCTGGTGGTCCTTGGTGCTCCGAGTCTTAGCCATGAACCTCTCTGCCAGTTTCTCCAGGTTCCTGGAGTACTCCATCTCGATCTCCGACTTCTTCCTGAAGAAGTCCTGCAGGTCCTGGAGGAGCTGCACCCTCATCTCCGTCTGCTGGTCCAGGCATTTCTGCTGCTCCACCAGCTGGGCACGGATCTCTGAGACACAGACAGACACAACCAAGTCAGATGGATGTAGACAACCACTTGTCAGAGGTATGTACAGTGGGGGAAAAAAGTATTTAGTCAGCCACCAATTGTGCAAGTTCTCCCACTTAAAAAGATGAGAGAGGCCTGTAATTTTCATCATAGGTACACGTCAACTATGACAGACAAATTGAGAAGAAAAAAAATCTAGAAAATCACATTGTAGGATTTTTTATGAATTTATTTGCAAATTATGGTGGAAGATAAGTATTTGGTCAATAACAAAAGTCAAAAGTTTCTCAATACTTTGTTATATACCCTTTGTTGGTAATGACACAGGTCAAACGTTTTCTGTACGTTTTCACACACTGTTGCTGGTATTTTGGCCCATTCCTCCATGCAGATCTCCTCTAGAGCAGTGATGTTTTGGGGCTGTCGCTGGGCAACACGGACTTTCAACTCCCTCCAAAGATTTTCTATGGGGTTGAGATCTGGAGACTGGCTAGGCCACTCCAGGACCTTGAAATGCTTCTTACGAAGCCACTCCTTCGTTGCCCGGGCGGTGTGTTTGGGATCATTGTCATGCTGAAAGACCCAGCCACGTTTCATCTTTAATGCCCTTGCTGATGGAAGGACATTTTCACTCAAAATCTCACGATACATGGCCCCATTCATTCTTTCCTTTACACGGATCAGTCGTCCTGGTCCCTTTGCAGAAAAACAGCCCCAAAGCATGATGTTTCCACCCCCACGCTTCACAGTAGGTATGGTGTTCTTTGGATGCAACTCAGCATTCTTTGTCCTCCAAACGCGACGAGTTGAGTTTTTACCAAAAAGTTCTATTTTGGTTTCATCTGACCATATGACATTCTCCCAATCCTCTTCTGGATCATCCAAATGCACTCTAGCAAACTTCAGACGGGCCTGGACATGTACTGGCTTAAGCAGGGGGACACGTCTGGCACTGCAGGATTTGAGTCCCTGGCGGCGTAATGTGTTACTGATGGTAGGCTTTGTTACTTTGGTCCCAGCGCTCTGCAGGTCATTCACTAGGTCCCCCCGTGTGGTTCTGGGATTTTTGCTCACCGTTCTTGTGATCATTTTGACCCCACGGGGTGAGATCTTGCGTGGAGCCCCAGATCGAGGGAGATTATCAGTGGTCTTGTATGTCTTCCATTTCCTAATAATTGCTCCCACAGTTGATTTCTTCAAACCAAGCTGCTTACCTATTGCAGATTCAGTCTTCCCAGCCTGGTGCAGGTCTACAATTTTGTTTCTGGTGTCCTTTGACAGCTCTTTGGTCTTGGCCATAGTGGAGTTTGGAGTGTGACTGTTTGAGGTTGTGGACAGGTGTCTTTTATACTGATAACAAGTTCAAACAGGTGCCATTAATACAGGTAACGAGTGGAGGACAGAGGAGCCTCTTAAAGAAGAAGTTACAGGTCTGTGAGAGCCAGAAATCTTGCTTGTTTGTAGGTGACCAAATACTTATTTTCCACCATAATTTGCAAATAAATTCATTAAAAATCCTACAATGTGATTTTGTGGAGAATCTTTTTTCTCAATTTGTCTGTCATAGTTGACGTGTACCTATGATGAAAATGACAGGCCTCTCTCATCTTTTTAAGTGGGAGAACTTGCACAATTGGTGGCTGACTAAATACTTTTTTCCCCCACTGTAGATATCTTAGAACCACACAGAGCAGACAGATCAGAAATCTGTAATTCTTACTAGTCAACACCAGCCCATATTCCAATTTAATACAATGCCTTCAGAAAGTATTCAAAACCCTTGACTTAATCCACATTTTGTTGTTACAGCCTGAATAAAAAAATTGACTACACCACACACACACACACACACACACACACACACACTACCCCATAATGAAAAAGTGAAAACATGTTTTAGAAATCTTTGCAAATGTATTGAAACTGAAATACAGAAATATCTAATTTACATACAGTACCAGTAAAAACTTGACACCTACTCATTAAAGGGTTTTTCCTTTATTTTTACTATTTTCTACATTGTAGAATAATAGTGAAGACATCAAAACTATTAAATAACACATATGGAATCATGTAGTAACCAAAAAAGTGTTAAACAAATCAAAATATATTTTATATTTGAGATTATTTAAAGTAGCCACCCTTTGCCTTGACAGCTTTGCACACTCTTGGCATTCTCTCAACCAGCTTCATGAGGTAGTCACCTGGAACGCATTTCAATTAACAGGTGTGCCTTGTTAAAAGTTCATTTGTGGAATTTAATTCCTTCTTAATGCCTTTGAGCCAATCAGTTGTGTTGTGACAAGGTAGGGGTGGTATACAGAAGATAGCCCTATTTGGTAAAAGACCATGTCCATATTATCGCAAGAACAGTTCAAATAAGCAAAGAGAAACGACAGTCCAACATTAGAGGATAAGTTCATTAGAGTTAACTGCACCTCAGATTGCAGCCCAAATAAATGTTTCACAGATTTCAAGTAAACAGACACATCTCAACATCAACTGTTCAGAGGAGACTGCGTGAAATCAGGCCTTCATGGTCGAATTGCTACAAAGAAACAACTACTAAAGGACACCAATAAGAAGAAGAGACTTGCTTGGGCCAAGAAACACGAGCAATGGAGATTAGATTTTTGGTTCCAACCGCCGTGTCTTTGTGAGACGCAGAGTAGGTGAACGGATGATCTCCGCATGTGTGGTTCCCACTGTGAAGCATGGAGGAGGTGGTGTGATGGTGCTTTGCTGGTGACACTGTCTGTGATTTATTTAGAATTCAAGGCACATATAACCAGCATGGCTACCACAGCATTCTGCAGCGATACGCCATCCCATCTGGTTTGGGCTTAGTGGGACAATCATTTGTTTTTCAACAGGATAATGAACCAAAACACACCTCCAGGCTGTGTAAGGGCTATTTGACCAAGGAGAGTGATTGAGTGCTGCATCAGATGACCTGGCCTCCAGAATCACCTGACCTCAACCCAATTGAGATGGTTTGGGATGAGTTGGACCGCAGAGTGAAGGAAAAGCAGCCAACAAGTGCTCAGCATATGTGGGAACTCCTTCAAGACTGTTGGAAAAGCATTCCAGGTGACTACCTCATGAAGCTGGTTGAGAGAATGCCAAGAGCTGCCAAGAGCTGAATGCCAAGAGAATGCCAAGAGCTGTCATCAAGGCAAAGGGTGGCTACTTTGAAGAATCTAAAAGATAAAATATATTTTGATTTGTTGAACACCTTTTTGGTTACTACATGATTCCATATGTGTTATTTAATAGTTTTGATGTCTTCACTATTATTCTACAATGTAGAAAATAGTAAAAATAAAGAAAAACCATGGAATGAGTAGGTGTGTCCAAACTTTTGACTGGTACTGTAAGTATTTACACCCCCGAGTCAATACTTTGTAAAAGCACCTTTGGTAGCGATTATAGCGGTGAATCTTTCTGGGTTAATCTCTAAGAGCTTTCCACACCTGGATTGTTCAACATTTGCCCATTACTCTTTTCAAAATCATTCATGCTCTGTCAAATTGGTTGTTGATTATTGCTAGACAACCATTTTCATGTCTTGCCATAGATTTTCAAGTAGATTTAAGTCAAAACTATAACTCGGCCACTCAGGAACATTCACAGTCTTCTTAGTAAGCAACTCCAGTGTAGATTTGGCCTTGCGTTTTAGGTCATTGTCCTGCTGAAAAGTGAATACATCCCCCAGTGTCTGGTGAAAAGCAGACTGAACAGTCACAAGACAGGGACGTAAAATATGGCACATCAAGGGAACTGTAGTCTACTGTTCAAATGGGTTGAATGGAATAGTAACTGAAATCTGGAAACTGACAGTAGGTCTATAACCTCTCACATAGCCTAATATAATATGAACTCCTGCAGAATGAAGCAGTTCTTGCAGTAAAATGATACACCAAATATACATTTTCACTCGGGAACAGTAGTAGAT